TATCTTTTCCAAAGGCCGAAAGTGAATGCTACAATCTAGGTCAGAATTTGAACTTCGCTTATAGATTCTACTTTCAGTAACGCTGTTATGCAATCCACACGCCATCTAGTTACGCTTGGTAAATATCTGTAGTGTGGTAAATAATAGCTAACTACCTAGATATACGCGACCATATGTAGAAGGACGTCGTTGAAAGCAAGCAAATATTTTTTATCTGTTCTGACTGTATAATGCAGCTGTCGATAGACTGTATTCCTGGAAACGCATAATGAAGGAAGGAGGTCGGCTTGTTCAGAACGTTAGGAAATATCGCTGACAGGTGTACTCGATGTTTTCTACTACGGAATCGTGTCAGTGAGTAGCACTTTTTGTACAATTCTTTTAGCAAAAGATACATGCGCAGATAGTGTAGCGATTATCGGCAATAGAATTGGGCTCGACTATAGAGTAGTCTATTACGTTCACCGTTTGCACTAATCTCTTCGGGAAAGATTATTTATTTCTAGTTTCATACAAAAATTTTGGCACAGGGCCGAAAGGGAAGTGCGAAACGGCTGGTTATCAGTGACTATCCTAGTCCTAGTTAATCACAATCACGTCTCTTTAATTCGTTACAGTATACTCATTCACTATAATTCGTCACCATTCATTCCTGCATATAGCACAATATCACATATTCATATGCGACCTACAAAACACCCCATGATATAAAGATCTAATAAGTGTTCATATAGTCTCTTTTTGTTTCTTTTTTTCCCTTTCTTTTTATTACAAAAATATATTTAAATAATGATGAATTCTGAAAAATGATGTGGGAGGGGGATGAATTCAAAACAAAACTAAAGAATGCAACAAAAGCAAACTAAAACAAAAGGATCCGTCCACCCCCCTCAAAATAATAAGAGTGGCCGCTGTATTCTGACGATAAACAGGTTATTTATTTCTGTTATTATACAGAAATTGTGGAACAAGGCAGAAGGGGAAGAGGGGTAAGGCTAGTCTTCATTAGCTATCCGAGTCAATCCGAATCACAACCCATTCATTCATTACAATTAACTCGATCACCTCAAGAACTTGTCCATCACCTCATAATCCTGCATATACTACAATACCCGCATATTCACAAGGGACCTACGAGACACTGCATACCATAAAAATTTGAAAGTTCAAAATGTCCTTTTTTTTTTCAAAAATATATAAAAATTTCCTGAATCATGAAACAATGGAGAGGGGATGAACCCAGAAAAACAAACTAAAAATGTAACAAAAATTAAAACTAAAATATAACAATGCTAGTAGGACCCGTCCACTCCTCAAAATAATAAGAGTGGCTGCTGTATTTTGCCGATAGACAGTCAACAAGATCACTCATTAATGGAGTAGGAAGGATAAAATATAAATGACCGAATGAGAAAATGAAAGGCTGACCCACCCGAGATGAAAAAATGGGACAAAAACAAACTGAGGAGGTTGGGAATCTCAACATGGACCATAACAAAAGAGAACGCTGAGAACAGGCCGGGATAATAATATCAAACTTAACCAGGGGAGGGTTCACAGGAAACCGTCCCGTTAGATCGAAAGGAAAATCAAGGCGAGCCCCGTTCACACGAACAAGGCTCGCCATAGTTACCCACCTTTCGCTGATATCTGTCTATATGAGTTGATGCCAAAAAGAATTAAACCAGATCCTGATGAGAATAGCGTTCATATCGCAAGATTCCCTCCATTTACAACGTCTACACCACCATTCTTGTCACGGCTAGCAACGTGAAAATCACCATCCGTTTCCCCCCGTAGAACGGGGACAACACATTTTTACACGCGTACGCGAGATCGATGGACACAAGCCGACATAGTCCCAGAAAATGCACACATGAGGACACTGGTAGAAGGCGTGCTAAGCCAAGGTAATACCGATGACAGTCAAACAAATCCACCCCGTCCCATCTAAAAGCTACATCACTGAAAGGTAGCACGTTCTGAATGAATCGCCAGGTAAGCGAAAACTCAGGGTTGCTAAGATGGTTCCCCGCTGGCGTTCAAGACCAGAAAGAGCATAAAACTGATGCCGACAATCCAAGTTGGCCACAAAGAAGGTCTGTCCTAACCCGCTTCATTAGATCATGATACAATTGCCTACGAGGCCGTGAAAGGTCATTGGACCGATGAATGGCTCTCAAGACCGCCTCACACTCTTGCAGGAATCTCCATTGATTCCAAGGCTTACGAAGGCGCTCAGACTCCGAAACGGTGAGAGTGATGGTAAAGTTAGGGAAGGTATTCCTAACACTCCCCTCACATCAAATGCAGAGTTATGGGTCTATAATCGTCTAAATCCTGTCCAACAAACTTGCCCTTTTTCAAAAGGGTGATCGTACTCCTGGAGATCCGATCTGGGATGGATTCCTATCTGAACCAGTTGTAGAACACCACTGTCGAAATCGGATTAAACTGACAGCCGTCCTGGGTATGACGATAAACTACATCTGACAGCAAGGCCTCTGATCAGGAGGTTTTGAGGTTTTTGAAAAAAAAAAATTACCCGCAATACATTTTTGAAAAAAATATTACCAGCAATCTTGTCGGCATTAAAAAACCCATTCATAATAAAATAACCGTACCCCCCACCCACCAAAAAACCCCTAAAAAACAAAACAAAGCGATAGCCTCAAGTAAAATTCGTAGGGAAGACCATAAAGTTCCGGAGATTTGCCACTGTCGACCCTCTTCAATTCCAAGTAAACTACGCCCTCTTTGATCTCCAAACGGGGAATGCGTCCTTATTCCCCGCTAATTGATCTCACGCTTTAAAGTTTCCACCTGTATTTCTTATGAGGGTGACCACTCCGGGGGCATTCGGAAAGTTACGTGATTCTTCGTTGGACTTACCATCCACGGAAGCACATTTGAAAAACGGCCTCAAAAGAGCCTTCCTTTGAGAAGAGAGCTCTCTCTCTCTCGGGCCTGTCTGTCTATACTGCACACCTATCCTCTAGGGGTATTTTTTTTATTTTTCTCTTTCTTGTTTTGTGATGGATTGGGGTAGGAGAAGACGGAGCCCTAGTAGAAAAAGAAGAAAAAAGGTGAATCTTCACTATACCTGGCAGCACCCTTGTTTGATCTCTTACTGACGAAACCGGGGTGGATCTGGTTTTGTCATCTACCATGGTCCTCTTCGCCTTGCTTCTGCCAGTCTTTTCTTTTTTTTTCCAATTGTCTTCTTACTCTCTCCCCTTTTTCAACGAGGAAGATCGAGGTAGAGGAGAAGCCTCCACCTCCATATAGAAGTCAAGGTGTGTCAACGCCCCTGGCTCTGGGAGCTGCTGCTGCTGTTGGGGATGATATTCCAACTGCTGCTGTAGCTGTTGTTTTGCTTCTGCAGTCACTTTTGCTGCTACCGTTGCTGCTTCTGTGGCTTTTTCGGTGGAGCAACCCATTTGGGAGAGAAACTCTGCTGGGGAGGAGAGTTTGTAGACGTTTTCCCTTTCTTACCACTTCTGTCTATTTGTTTGAACTCACTGTTCCATTAGTTGCTCCTGGGGGCGCTGCTGGCTTTGCTGTTGTAGGTGGCAATGGAGCCGGGTTCTTCATTGGGCACATATTGTCCAAGTGCCCGCGGCCCCACAGTACCAGCTGTGGGGTCGGCGAACCTCCACCATGACCAGAATATTCCTTTCATGACAAGTTAGGACGTTGAAGATCTTGGAGATTGTCAGAAGTTGATTCCCGTTGGTGTATGGCGGATATTTTTCTCGTAGCACCACATGATCGTGAGGGCTCTTTTTAATGTGTTTCTTAGCTGCCCTTTAGGTGGGGCCGAAGATTAATGCTGTTGAGGAGACTTCGCCATAGCACAAAGGACGAAAAATGTCCAGTGGATAAAAACGGATATTCAAAACAATATCCACAAACAGAAAAAACACGAACAAAAACGTGCTATTTATTTTTCTTTTACCAAAATAAACCGAACTCGCTCGATAGAAGGAAAAATAACTCTTTTCAAAATCTCTTCGGGAAAGACATGGATCTAGTTCACCTCCCCACACTTGTAGGTTAAATAGCAGACTAGATCTTTAGATGATAGCCAGTCTCGAAAAACAATGGCTCTGCAATTGCTATATCTGTTTTAAAGATAATTTATAGCAAACTTCTAAAAGTTTGAAATATGAGATTATACGATTGTAATATGTATTCTAATTGTGATCACAGATTTTCTGGTAGAAGTTCACACATATAAACCATTCATTGCAAAACGGCGGAATAGCAAGAATACTAACACGTCTGAAGCATACAGTAGTTGTAACCCAATTCTTAAGAGAAGAATCTTAATTCTCTGGTTAGATCTCGCAATTTCATATGGATCAAGACCGCAAAAATAGAAATATTGCAAAAATGTGTGTCCAGATAAATTAGTGATTATTAAGACAATTTTAAGATAAGAGTATCTTCAAGTCACGCATCAAATATTCCTTGGTTCCACTAAGCCTGGCCTTTGCATTTAGAATCCGCCACACCATTTACACGAGGATTAATCACCTTCATTCTCTATATATTCAATTACCAAGAAATTCCACTTCGACAGATTATTCTCAAGAAATGCTGCTTTATGGAATGCTGCTTTGTATTAGTCACTTAAAAGTATATCTTATTGTATATTTTCGTTCAATCGCTGCTTTTGTTTGAAAATGAAAAGTATAAACACGACTACGTTAAATCTACATGAATTATGCCCCTATTATCTCGGCAAAACCTAACGAAAGGCTTATTTTATCAAGAAATGTTTACAAGGATGAGGAAAACAGGATTTTACTTTTTGGTTATAACTAGATTTTTAATAGCAGTTTTCGATATGAAAAGTGTAAAAACTTGAAATAAAAACAAAAAGGAAAAAAAAAACTGTAAAAAATTAGAATAATAAAAAAATCCTGTAAGGAATTGAAATAAAAAGTGAAACAACGTTGGTAAACTGACACATCCAATTTTAATTTACTTTTCAGCTGTAATCTTCCAAATATGTATCCAGAACCGTTACAAACTGAACAAGAAACACCGGAATTGGCTTTCGAAAAACGAGGCCGAAAGTGCATTACCGGAAGTGCTCAAACAGGCGAGAGTAAGTAATCAAAAATTTCCATTGATTTTCATAACTATTACAGAAAGTTATTAAGTTATTTTTTATAATTAAAACCGATTTATGTGGCTCGATATGTCACTCTGAAAGGAGCTTACATACTACTCATGATGGAAGCTAATTATATTGAATTATATATATATATACTAATTATATAGTGAATATGGTCTTTTTTGATTTTCTCATGTTCTTGATGCTTAAAGATTGGATTCTTTTTGTAGAGCTTTATAGCTGATTTATTGTGGTGGGAGAAAAAGAACAAAAAACCGGATCGTCTGTCCCGCGTTTACTTTACCATACCCTCCGAAAATAATTGAGCCATCATGAAAAAGTATGTTGAACATATCGTCTTAGACTTACCTCCCAAAACAGCAACATTACTTGCAAGCATTTGAAGCGGGTGATTGGTGAAGTCCTGTATGAGTTATTTTTTTTTAATTCAGGACCCTTCGCTTTTTTTTAAAAACTAAGTTCTATTATCGTATTGTCTGCTGGTAGGAAGTCAATACAAAATAAACAGTACACTGATTTTGTGCTGATTGTTTGGTTGCCATATAATACCTCGTAATGTTTATTGTATCAATATAATAAATATTGTGTTTTCAAATCTTTATCTATGTTAGCGTAGTAAAACTTACCGTGTTTTCTTGTGTATAATACAATAACTATTAAAAGTTAAAGGCAAAGAAATAGTTTCGTATTATACACAAGTAAATGTTTTCAGGAATTTTTACGCAGCTTAAAATCTTATTTGTAACAGGAAGATTGCAAATACACTCAACACAATAAATAAAACAAAGTAGGCAGGTGTTAATAACAATTGTTAAACAAATGATATTTAATATGTCGGTAATATGTGTCTCTCCGCATTCTTAATATAAGACGATATTTGTTTTTATTTTCATAGTTTATTAATATATAGAAACAGTAAAATAGGATAGATGAACATCATAAAATTTTTTACCGGTGATGTCGAGTTTAGTACCTTTCCCTGAAAATTCGAAAATAATTTCCGTTTCAAAATTACAAGAAATATGCAATGACTAAACATCAGTTCAATATAATTATCAGAAATTAAATATTTGGTGAATTCTTTGAGATTTTAATGGATTATAAAGAACAATACATAGGGTTGGTTTTAATACGGGTTGTATTATACACGAGATATACGGTATGTGAATTTCGTATTAGGCATGTGAAAATTGAGAAACACGCCCACTCACTTACACATAGAAATTTAACAAAACAATCTTTTATAAAATTGTGTTGCCTAATTTAATAAATGCTCTTCTACTACACCTTACATGGCTCTCGTAGCTTATGATCGTGGAGTAAATAATATATACCTGTTTGGCGAATTAAGGTTGGCTACAGTAGCTTATGATCGTGGAGTAAATAATATATACCTGTTTGGCGAATTAAGGTTGGCTACAGTAAATATCTCGTTTATCACCACAGGTTTACTTATAATTTTCCTGACATTGCTAAGTTGGGCACGTTCCATATTAATGATGTGAATTAAGTACACGGAATACCTTTAAATGGAAGCGATATCAGCGGACTGGGTTACCTACCTAGAAGGCAATTTTAATTTGGCTCACCTGTAAGGTTATGCACTGATTTTATCATAAAATGTAACTATATCATGTACATTTGGCTGAAATGCACCTGTCGAGTATAGATATATCAGATTATGAGTACATTGGGCTTCGTATATTTGTACCCTTGCGTCATTTTGTTGGTGTGCAGCGCTCTTTATTATTACTATTATTATTCATTAATCTGAAATAATGTAAAACGTTTTGATTTTATTTTTTTTTAGGACGCTGCCGAGGCGGAAGACCACGACAATGCTGCCGAACAAAAACGCCAACACGGGAAGACAGTACGATATGGAGAAATTGTCCAGGTGTTTAAATATTTCATTCACAAAATTTGAAATGGAAAATATTAAAGATAAATTATTTCATGTGTCACATTTGAAAACTTTGCAGTTAAAAATGTGTTTTTAAAATAGGTTAATACTGATTTTACAGGACGGAAAGAATATAGGGCATTTTTTTTTATTTACAAAGGCTTGTCAGATTTTAAAAACTGTTCAGTATTTGAGATACCATTGATTGATTTGGGATCAAATATAGATCGGAATCCGACAGAATACTAATTAAAATTATTATATAGTTACACACAAAAAGCAATATTTACAAGTCCAAAGCCTAACTGAAAAGTATTGTCTATCCCTGAATTCGGAACGCCATAAATTATATTAACGTTTGTTCAACAAGTCGAATGCACGTGAAACGTGATTAATCAATGAAAACAAAACACACAAGTAAAAATACCAGAATTTCTTTTTTTTTCCATATCTTATTCTCTGATGAAGTCTTAATATAAAAGAAACATGTTTAGATTGATAAACGCTTCCTGTTCTTTATGGTATCTTATGATTGAGTGTTACATATAACTGTTATTGTCTCAGTGGGCTGTTTTTATCATGGCAGGATTTTAGAGTTTTTTTTTGCATGAGACGATTATATATTCTATACTTAAATGATCTTAAACAGAAGTTATAAAAGAAGTAATTTGATTCAATATAAAAGTCCACTTTTTCGGCAAGTTACCGAGTAGCACACGTTCTTTATATACAAGTACAGAAACCACGATTCTTCTATTTGCTGTGATCCTTCACGACGTGGGCGATCATATCTCTCCACAGTTTCCTGTAACTCTCAGTAAAGTTTGTGCTATCTTAATCCATGTTATGCCAACTGTTTCCACAAGTTAGTTCGGTAGGTTATGCCTTTCTTTCCTTTGTCTCTCTTGCCGTCAATATTATGTTGTCAATGTCAACTTTCATAATAAATCTTTTCTCATTATGTGGCCTTACGGCAGTATCATGCTGGAACAGCGGTTCTTGTACGATCACTGAAGTATCTAGATGAGTGACCGTATACGAGAACCAGTTGCTGTAAGCTTGCATTTGAGGGTAGTTCTAATTGATAACTACTCGACATTGTTAATCGGAGAGCCGAGTTTCACTTGTAGTCGTGTTCGCTATATTTACTTACGTGTAAATATCCTTGGGAAAAGTAGGAATCCTCTTCATCACCTGCCCCCCAGGTATGGATTAATTAGCTGGACTTGTATCAGTGAATCATAATTATCTACAAAAAATGTCTTACAATCTAAAAAAAAAAAAAAAAAATAGCTAAACCTGGAGATAGGCAGTGGCATATCTATCTCTGACTCGAGGTGAATTCGTCGAGAAATTCGAATGTGCCCACTAGCAACTTGATCCTGATGTCTTTGCGTCTTGCAATATATTCTATCCTCCACGCGGTGGTTATGCTTGTTCTAACCTTTCTTGATACTTTCCCAAACAGCTTATCGTCAGTTGCTTCAGTCATTCACAAATGGCTTCCAGTTACCTGGATCAATTTTATGCGAGTTTCAAATCGCGCTTGCAGACATCCTTAAAGCATGGCGGTCAACAATTCGTGTTTTCCTGTAGCCAGCTCATCATACATAAAATCTTTTGATATGTGACCATCCTTTATTTGATGAACATAACTCAGTCATTGCAGTCGTCATTGGTAGAGGAGGAAAAGATCCCGTTTGATACATCACGGCAACATTAGTGACTACTTTATTATTGCCTATAAAAGCAGTAATAATAAAATCATAGCTTTTTATGATGTAAGAAAAACTACATGAAATTTGTGTACATGTTGATTTATTTAATAGTTATTTGATTTCATTGTATTTATTTCAGTTGAAACACATGTTCTCTGGGAAATATGTTCACACGTGTACAACGCAAACGAGCCAACGTGACAAAAACAACATGATGGTAAGTAATCCCGACATTCAAGAAACTGACATAACTTTAGTCGAATTTTTATGTGCCGTGTCCCTTCAGGACATAGACGATCCTGACTTTCCACAATTTCCAATCTTTTGTAGCAATAGGCAGTTATTGTCGCTTGCTATCATTTCCAATTTTTGTTCTGCTATCCATTTACACAAGTAGTAGTTTACGCTATTTTTCTGTTCCTCTAGCCTTCAATATATCCTTTGAGTTTTGATTTCTCCAAGCCTTCTTTTCTCATGTGTTTCAAATTTCAGCTATCTTGCCTGTACCCAGACCATTTCTGTTTTATCATCATTGGTTATACTTAGTAAATATAAAGCAGCCTAGACGGTTTTTGCGATTTAAAATCATTAAATAATTTGTTCTTTTTTTTTTATAAAGAAATCATTTGGGAAAGGTCAGTTTTATTTGATTCGATGCTAAAAGTCACAGGTTTTACATAGTTTTATTGTTACAATTTTGTTTTCTTCGATTCTGAGTTATTTTTCTTACTGAGGTAAATTCTTTTAAAATGTTTCACATTTTTTTCAGATTTCACTCCATGAATTCAATGCAAAAAATGCACAATTTAAAATCTTGCCGCGGTATAAAGTAAAATCTGAAGGAGAAGTGGTAAGTTACACATTGAAACGATAGAACTTGCTTAGAAGTTTTATTTTCTTCATGTTCTATTGTCGATTCTTGAAGATGTAAACCCTATAATGCTTCTTTTCATAATGTATAAGCTTTTAACCGAAGTCACTATAAAAAAAACCCAACAAAACAGAAACAGATTAAGGTATTTTTAATTTTTTATTGACTTCTACTTTAAAGGTATCTTCTTGTTTAAGTAGAAGCTATTCTGACTTTATCAAATGTAAAAGTTTAATAGCCATTCAATAGTAGATATATTTCACCCCTAACCCCGTACAGGTATTTTCTTAATGTTATAATGCTAAAATAATCAGGAAATGGGGTAGAGGGTGCCAGCTAATCCTCGAGCAGCCTTATTTAATCCCTTCTCATAATGAGTCTTGTAATCCTGCTTAGCTCTCCGAACAAGCTTATCTTTTATGTGCTGCCCGTGATATGCTTTTATATGTTCTTTGATTTCTCGACAACAACCTCATTTCGTAATCCCTTACTTTGAGCGGCCTTTTATAGAGTAAAAAATAGTAAAAATAATAATAATTCAACAGACTGATCAATCTAACATTTTACCAAACGTTTCCTATATCTCGTCGGTAACATTTCACAAATATTTTGATAGTAGGTGGAATAAATGAGAAACAAGAATTAATCGTAGTACTGTTTAGTGATCTTCCAAGCGTAGCTCAGATGTGACACAAGGCCGAAAGTATGGGGCACCCAGTGAGGATCGAACTCACTACTCAGTCAATCTTGCTAACCATTACAACATCTCGAGGTGCCCATCGTAGTACTGTTTATATTATAAGCAGTGGTACTCGCATCAGTAAGTCAACAAAATCGTATTTCACTATGACTATGTATATATATGTGTCATAAAGAGAAGTAGATATTTACTTGACCCCTCCCCCGTTTACTGAGTCAGGTTGTGACACAAGGTCGGTTTTTAACTTGGGGACTCGAGTGTTTTCACTTGGGCCGCTGGTCTAAGCTGGTCATTGCTTGTTCACGCTGGGCAGAGTTGGTTTAAGCTTGTCCTAGCCGGTCCAAGCTAGTCGTAGTCGTGATACCCTCCAGCAACAGGGACGAAGCACAAGTGCCTAGTGATTTTCCAAGCGTAGCTCAGATGTTGCACAAGGCTGAAAGTATGCGGCAGCCAGTGAGGATCGAAGTCTTAATTGTTCTAGCGAGACAAGCTTGCTAACCATTACACCATCTCGAGATAATGCCCAGATATTTTAGACCATCTCGAGGTGTCCATCGTAGTACTGTTTATATTATAAGCAGTGGTACTCGTATCAGTAAGTCAACAAAATTATATTTCACTATGACTATGTATATACACGTGTCATAAAGGGAAGTAACGTGCATACGTGTTTGAAAGTGTAGACATGAGCTTCACCGGAAATATGAAATCACCTTTGTTTATATTACAACATTTGAAATCAATCCACCAAAATGTAAAATAACCACAACAACAATGATATTAGTAATATTACTTTATTCTCGTACCAACGAAGAAAAAAAAACACCCTTGGCCATTTCGCTAATTATATAACACCGGAATAGGTAACTTAGGTGATCCTTCTTTCTGTATGTGGATGTCCTCTACCATTATCTAATAAGACCTTTCATTTCTACATTACACAGGAAAAAACTGCTTTTTCTTCCCATTTTTGTTTAGTTAAGTAATTTTCCCTGTAAATTCCTCAAATATTTGGATAATAGCTTGTAACTTAACAAGCTAATCTCATAGATAATTTTTGTAGTGAGTTCGATTGTGACATTATGCAGTAATATACAAAGCTATGTAGGTTAATATAATTTATGGGTTTCTTTCATCAGTTTCAAATTGTCTTTCTCTGGAGTATTTGTATCACCTACAATTTCACGTTAAGTAATTCTACCAATTATCTGCGTTTCAGTCCATGTCAATTGAAAACTTAATATATTTAAGCTTATGCCTATATTTGTCGTGTGCGGCGAATGACGAGGTTCCTATTTATTCCTTTGTTTCATGTTATTTTGGAAGAAAATTAACACTCAAGTACCTCCTTTTGTTGTATAGATGCTATGAAGGAGCCAGCATAGTACACTGACAATCTTCAAAATCAATCTATCCGTCAACCATTATGCTCTTTATTGAATTTTCACAACTATAGTATTTGCTGGCGCTCGCTTGAATTATCTTGTTCAAGAGACACTTCAAAGAATAGTCCTTTTTTATATAAATGTTTGAATCCGTTTTAAAGATTCTGCTATTGGGTTTTGAATTGACTCCATCAATACTAAATTGAAACTTCTTTGTTCAATTTTTCTAGGTTCAGCTTCACGATCAAATAGTGTTTGAAAGTATCAAGTCACCGGGGCACTATTTCCATGCGAGTAACAAATTTCAGATTGATTACTACACAGAAGGGTAAGTAAACACATCATTGAACAGGCGTTGAAAAGTTCGATTTTTACTGTTCATTAAAATCCGAAAAACTGCATGAAGAACATTTACTTTTTAAATAAATATATTATAAAAATTTATATAAACTGGCAAAGAACAATATAGAATTATTAACGTATAGAATCATTTTTTCTATTATAAAGTAAATCTATTAAAATGCCCAAGTGTCACTGAATGTAGTGGGATAATGAAGATGTGTGATAGGAACGTAAAAAGAGGAAATTGGAAGTGAAGATTATTAGGATCAAGGACGCACACACACACACACACACACACACACACACACACACACACACACACACACACACACATATATATATATATATATATATATATAATTAGGGCATAAAAAGCAAGAAATTTTATATTATAGGCCATGATAGATTTAAAACAAAAACACACACCAGTCGACCGGTTTCGTCCCCTCTCATCACAACTGTTAACGGGGAACTAAAATTATGAAGAAAAGAAAAAGTCTGTCATGGATGACATGAATGAGTGATGCCACTGATGGATTTGTGTTCCTTTGACATCTGCAGCCTCTTCACCTGTGTTCATTTATCGGAGACTATTGATATTTGCAGCGATATGTTATATCGTAGTGATTTGACTCCTCCGAATATACCTGAAGAAGTGTTCGTTGAACTCATGAAATTTACCACCATGTTTGTCGATTTTAGTTTCGACAATATCATGTATCGTCAGATCGATGGTGTAGCGATGGGTTCCCCTTTGGGTCCTGTGTTGGCAAATATTTTTGTGGGTTTTTACGAGGAAAGCCTTTTGTCAGGTTCTGCCCTGTCCAAGGTTTACTTTCGGTATGTGGATGACACTTTTTGTGTGTTCAGCCATGAATCGGAAGTGGATCAATTTTTCCCTACTCAACGGTGTTCATACTGCCATTAAATTTATAGTAGATAAGGAGGTCAATGGTTCATTGCCCTTCATAGATGTTCTTCTTCAAAGAACTCCTTCCTCGTTTATTACCTCTGTTTACAGGAAGTCTACCTTTACAGGTCTATATACTCGATGGGACTCTTTTTGTCCTAAACGACAAAAGATAAATTTGATTAGGACCCTGACACATAGGGCGTTAATGATTTGTTCGGGTGACACCTTGAAGGATGAAATCAGTTGTTTAACTGAGATCTTTGTGAACAATGGTTATCAGTTGAACATTCGGGATAAGACTGCCAGGTTCAAAAAATCAAACCTGCTTTAGTGGATAAATGTCTGGTCTATCTTCGTTTACCGTGCTTGGGTAGGATTAGTGAATCTTTCGCCAAGCGTATTTCATGTAGTTCACGTGAGTGTTATTTTGCAGCGAACGTTCGTGTTGTTTTTCAAACTAAGTCCGTACTTTCATCTATGTGTAAAGATGTTCTACCCACCCCCACCATATTAATTCTGTTATTTACCATTTCAAATGTAGTTGTAGATGCGACTACATAGGTAGAACGACACAGCGGTTGGACGTTAAAATTAAATAACACGTACCTGCTATAATACTGAATAAAAAATTTTCTTTGGGCGATACCATTAGTAACACGTATGGTTCTTCGATTGCGGATCACTTTATAAAGAATCTCACTTGATTTCAGTGTGAACTGGTTTTCCGTTTTGGCCAGTTCGCACTCACTTTTCCATCTTAAGGTGTTGGAGACGCTTTACATCAGGCCCAGGCAACCTGCTCTTTGTAAACAAAGAGATTGTTTGCTTGGACTTGCTGTGCTGCGCTTCTAGCATCTTTGTTGGTATAATTTTTATAATTTTTTTCTCCTTGTCCACTCATTCATATCATCCATGACGGACTTTTTCTTTTCTTTTTCTTCATAGTTTTAGTTCCCCGTTAACAGTTCTGATGAGAGGGGACGAAACCGGTCGACTGGTGTGTGTTTCTGTTTTAAATCTATCATGGCCTATAATATAAAATTTCTTGCTTTTTATGCCCTAATACGCTTCTGTACTGTTTCAAACATATATATTAATAATATAAAAGGCTCAAGCACTAATATTCCATAGTTATAATTTATTACATTGAAATCATACTCACGATCCAATTCATCAGACCTACAAATTCTGGATATTGAGTTCTACCTGGATTCTATCCTCTAGGGAATTAATATATAATATATATATATATATATAAATCATATTATTAGAGAGTGCATATTTTAACGTTATATAAAATAAATTCTTTTGAGAAACCATACCTTCATTTATTGAATGATGTCAATACCTTTCTAAACGGTTAAGATGAAGGCCAATTTTTTTTGTGTATATGTAAACAAGCACTATCTATTTGTATGAAATATTCTAGTCTTTGAAGTTCTAAATAAGTAACCTCGTTTTTGGTTGGTTGAATCGTTTTTGCAGGCAATTTCAAACCAGAAAACATTTTTTAGATTGTAAGGACATCTTTCTTTTTGTTTGTTTGAAGATAACATCGTTCTAGTGACAAAAGTTCCACGAACTAACCTATAACTGTTGGTAGAAAATAGCATTTGTGATTATAACGAACTCAACGAGAATTGGAACTCTGCTCTCCGATTAACAATTCCGAACTACTATCCATTACACCACCCGCACATTCGAGCTTACCTCACTTGGCATTCACAAGAATTTACCCATTTAGGTATTGCTGAACAGTGTATTTGGAATTGATATTTAGTAGTTTGATGCATCTGTGAATTTATTTCTGGTAAAAATTCGTATTTAGGCCGGGAGAAACAATGTGTCCTAAATATAGAAATGTTTTATTCCGTCGAATAGATTTTGAATTCCTCAAGTAGGCATCAGAAGGCCCAATTGACGACATCTTTAGGAAAAGTGATTCTCATACTGGCGCTACAGAATCACAAGAAAAAAAATCTTTACCAAACATCATTTGAAAACATCCAACTATAACAGCGGTAACAACTAAAACGGATAGCAACTGTAATTCGAAGAAGAAATAGCAATGAAGATGTTGACTTTCCACACTACATTAAACAAAATGTCAAAACCCCATCAATACTGGATATGATATTTAGTGAGTTTGAGAAATCTATTTTTCTGAAAGTTTTTTATAAATTTAAACCGACAGTAAGCTCATTGTTCGGTCAATGAATGTTTTCTTATAAGGAACAGCTTCTCACTATTACCAAAATAACACCAGAACATCACAGATGGTTTAAATATTACCCTTTTATATTCACTCATATCCCTTCCCAATTCACTTTCCAGAAAATTCAAAGCCTACTGTAAATAGTTTAGGTAAAATCGTATCTTTTCCTTATTCCTTTTCTAGTCTTTATTTTATCTGTAGTGGAATTTTTGCGGGACTATTATCGCATATATTTTTTGGCAATATTTTGTTTGGCTACTTCGACAATTAGCATTTAAATTCCCAACTTTCTTATCATGAAACACTGTTACCATTCTATGTTGATCTCCGTAATCACACACATATATATATATATATTATTATACTAATAATAATACTCGATTGGAAAAAAAAAACCTCGGGTAGCACAACTTGTATATCAAAACAAATTGATACCCGAGGAAAAAAATTGCAAAAAAGAAAGTAGAAATATCCGAACAGAGCGAAAGAAATCGTTCAGTGCTTTAAGTTTTTAGTCCAAAGAAAAAAACCAAGCGAGTAATAGAGCTAAAATGTAGTGTTCAATACGCTAAGTAGAGCGGGGATAAATGAAATAAATCCTAAAGAGCCAGGAACAATATACCCAGGTTTCAATCTAAACGGATCTACAGGGTAATCTGATTACCCTGAAGATCCGTTTAGGTGAAACCTAGGTCGGTTGTTCTTGGCTCTTTAGGATTATATATATATATATATATATATATATATGCATAATTATTTTTAATTGGCAAATATTTTTACTTAAACAGATCTGAGCTAAACCTTGGAGTGGAACGATCGAGCTTTACACTGATTGGAAGTCATAGAATAAATCCTGACCAAAGCAAATTTGTTCGGGTAAGTCACGTTCAATCTCGGTGTCTAACGGGTTCATCTTACAGTTTTGCTCTTCTTTCCAACACTCTCTCATATTTGATCCTCGGATTTTCTACTCCTCAAATCTTATAGAAATCAAATTGAACAGTTGGCGCTTCTGAAATTGCATGGATCTTCCTTTTAATTGCCATTTTAAACTCTTAAAATGTTTCTACTCATAAAATAACATTTTTCTCTGACAAATAGATGGATGAAAATTATAAAATTTACCCGTTTGAGTCATGCGTTACTTCATTTCTAAATTAAAAATCTGATGTGTTATAGAATCGGGTTCTAGTCTTCATTTGTAATGTTTTATTATTTGCTCAGGTTAACTTTCTACAGCACAAAGTCCGTTTAAAAATGGGGGTCAAAATCATGAACTGTATCAGTCTTCCCAATGGGAAGGAAATTGCTTACCTTGGCAATTAGCATTTAAATCCACAATTTTCTTAATCTACATATGTATTGCATTGACTTTAAATCATATTGTTTTTCTTATTTATTTAACGTATGTGAACTATTCAGTAGCAACTTATTTAAATTCTATAATGTAACAAATTGAATCCAGTTCGAACGATTACTATCCTGTTAAATCGGCAAAAAAATTGATTTTGTTTGTCTTTAATTGTAAATAAGGACAATTCTTTTTTCCAGGGAGGTTCTGTGATTCGACTGTTTCATAAAGAGTTGGAAGCTTACTTGGTTGCCGAAGGTCTGTTCGAGGAAAGCATAACAGAAGATGGTACTTAATTTTCATCACCGCAGAAATCTACCGAATAGGATTTTAATTCAAAGTCCGTAATTTCAGGGCAAGAAGTTCAGTGGATAACGTGTTTAACTTCGATCCGTACTGGGTACTTTACAATTGATTGCTTAGTCATTTTATTTTATTAAAACGGGGTCCGAAAATCATTTTCTTAGTTATTCGGGGTCTGCACTAACGGTACTGAAGAAACAAATAATATGAAAGGAAAATGGTGAGGTTTAACTTGGAGAGTTCTTTTTTTTTTATAAAGCTAAAGATTTTCCAGTGAGGCCGATTTTTGTTTTCAATTTATGGTTTTATGCATCCTCGGAATCACACAAATTAAGGCTATTTGTGTAAATCTATTATCTTTATTTTTTCTGATTTGAATATTTTTCTATTTGATTCCATTTTAGGGAGTTTTTTATTTTATTCGTGACATTTTGATGAATAAAACTTAATGTAAGTTTCATTCGCTGTAACGCAGACATCTGCACGTGTTTGCTTATATTATTACGGACGTATATATATATATATATATATATATATAGAGAGAGAGAGAGAGAAAGGCAGGTTAATTTTTCCATTTTAAAAAAATAAACATTGCACTCAGTGTAAACGCTGGGGTTTGATGTGGTAAGTAGTATCACCAAAGATTAGAATAATAGATTTTACCAGTTTTTGAGCATTTACTTTTTAAAAAATCCCGTGAAAAAATGTAGAAAAATACTTAATTTCCGCAGGTTTTTGTTTACAAAATGATATCAAAATTTTACTATCTCAATAAAACCAAATATATTACTATATTTTGTATTAGTGGCACTGAATGGAAAATATTCAAACCAGAATTCTAATTATGAATCAACAGAAGTAAAATATGAAATTTTTTACTGTATTCGATAAGTAAAAACAGTGTAAAAAATGAAAAAAAATCTACTCAATTAGACAATAATAAAAATAAAAAAAGATAAGTGTCTATAACAACATGTTACTTCTGGGCACAAAGTATACGACAAAATGTTTTAAATTTGTATTGTTTATTGAAAGTCGCACTAAAACTACTGCACTGTATAATATATTATATCATAATATAACTAAATTGTTCAGTATAATTTCGCTTCAAATAAATGATTTTATTTGATGTCACAATGATTTAATCATAACGTGCGTGTGCCTTGTACCTTGTCTTTATAGTTTGTCAAGCTTCGGTAAATTATAAATTTTATAAAGATGTGCTATAAGACTTTCACTGATCAACGGAATGAAATTCCAACGCTACAATTTTAAAGCTAAATTAATCTATATCTGGTTCTACAGAAGGATACTGAAAATTCCATGAACAGAGCGAGAGAACAAAGGAAGTCTTAAAGAAAATGGTGTCAGAAAGAACACTTTTACTCAGAATTAGGAAAAGACAGCTGTTATTATTTGAATACACAATAAGGAAGGAGGACAGGAGAAAGCAGTGAACCACTTACCGTGTGAGTTTGTGTGAATGGTTGGCGGAAAGGGGGTGAGGAACCTACAAGAGAGAAAAAAGAGCTACGTAAGATAGTAGTTGTGGAGAGCCATGATTGCCTCTGCCCTGACGGCATAGAAGGCGGCTACAGATTTTTTGATTCTCCTCTTAGTGTTATTTCTTAAATATTTTTAGTATTTTTTAATCAATTCACCCCAAAGCAAAGCGATAAAGTTATTAAGACGCAAGGGGGCTACTGGGAGTGAAAGAGAATGAAAAAGTTGTTAGAAGGAACCGAAAAATCACCCCTAAACAGGGAAGAGGGTATAAACCTCAACTCTTGTTCAAAAGACCGGGGACAGATATAAACAGGACGTTAAGCGAAACTATCTAATCTTACCGAAGAGAAAAATAATTTCAGAGTACAGAAGGAAACGTTAGAAGTATGGAGTTGAGACAGAATTTAGAAGGAACCGGAAACCCAATCCTAAACTTTTACTCCTGTTCAAAAGAAAAGGGAGGTGTGTGAACCGGATGATAATTATATTTGTTTGTTACAAATTGATATACACACGTAAATAGATAATAAATATTCACATTATAAAGCTTTTAAAATTTTCCGATGAATCGCAGCTTGCAATTTTTAAATAAAATTAAAAAAAAAATGTAAACAACTGAATATTAATTTATAGATTCTCATCTTCTATGCGCCGTGTCACTTTAGGAAATTGGCGAACATAGTTCTTCACAATTTCCTGTTCTTTTGTAGCTCTTAATAAATTTTGCTTTTTGTTGTCTCTCCTAAATCTTGTTACCGCCTTCCATTTACACAAGCTCGCCATGTATCTTACGCATTTTTTACTCTGTCCCTCTTGCTTTTTCTGTCCTGTGTGTATCAGATTTTCCAAGCACCTTTTCCTAATTATCTGCTCTAAAAGTTTCACCTGTCTTTTCCAGATGTTATTAAGTATAGGTTTCCTTTTTTGTTTCAATTTCTCCAAAACTTTGTCGTTGCACACATTTCGATCCATGGTATTCTCAGTATCCTCTTGTATGATGAAATTTATGTTGCTTCAAGTCACTTCTTCATCCAAAAGGAAATTATCCAGCATTCACTGCAAAATAGGGGGACTGATATTACATAGATTTTCATACTCTATATAATTTATTCGGAAATGCTTTTCTAAATAATTCTTCTAAACTTTAGAATTATTATTACCTTAGTAAGATACTATTTAATGGCATATTCAGAGAAGTGAAAACTTTCAATCAATACATGTCTTCTTTTTTATTTTATTTTATTTCTTTTCTTTCTATTTTTTTTTTTTTTGCAAGTCCACTTCAGAGTGCGGATAATGGATCAACATCGTCCGAAAACAATGTCTCCGTCCTCTTCGGGAATCACTTACTGGGAAATAGAAGCTGAATCCAGTATACTTGATGGTACGTTGTCATTTTCTTCTTTAATTTCGTCTTGTTACAATTCCTTATTTCCACCAAATCTAACGTTTGTCGCTAAGACCACACACAGCAAACCACTCTCATTCACTTGGTGAAATGTAAGTTTCACTTGAACAGCTTTTTCTTGAACAGCTTTTTCCCAGATCACTACAACCTTAACCTGTTCAAGTCTATGAATTTTCTGTATTTCAAAAACTATACTGAGTGGAAAGAATTGTTTTTTTTTTCTAAAACAGGTGATTAGCCGTATTTAATCGGAATGTAATTCTCTTTATTAAAAAATCTTGCAAAAATAAGATATACTTTTCTGAGACTTTATTTGAAGCTGATTTAAAATATAATCAATCTGATTTGAAACAAATATTATTTACTTTAAGTTTAAAGAATTGCAGAAATACATTTTAACCAGTAATTGAGTTGACGAGTTTGACAAGGTGATGACAGTACTAATGCTGTTTTACAGAGACCTTATCTGTAAAACATAATTGAGAAAAATGGCGTGAACGTCTTTTTTATTTTAATTTTTGAGTACCCATTAATCTTAAAAATTTAGGAAAATATTCTCCATACTCAAATATTTTATTGATTTTTAGAAATTTTGGTATGAATTTACTATAGTCATCGATGTTATTTTTTGATAATGTTGTGTATGGTCGCCAGTACTTACAAAAAACGGCACGTTTATACACTAATAAAATAAAATTCAAGATTATTTTTAAAATATTGGTGTTTGGTGATATGTATAAATATTGGTGTTTGGTGATTTGTATAAAGCTTATAAGCTATAATCTATGATTAATAAATCACAGAATTATATGATTTTATTGAACTTTTCATAAATTATTCGGTAATAAATAAAATTATTTGAAAGATTGGTAGATATATATTTTTAGGTATGCTGTTGAATTAAAAAAAAGACGTGTATTGATTTTGTGTCAGCCAGCCTCAGGTAGCTTTCATATTACTTTTACATCATTTGTAACATTTCTCATTTATTTCTCAATCTTTATGCAGTACTCTATTGAAAAGTAAATGTAATAAACAAATTTGAAAATCAGGTCTATATTTTCTATATTAGTTTTTTATTAGTACTCTTCCAATATAAGGCTCAAGAGCTACTCAAAGCAGAGGGTTACTGAATGAAGTGTATGATATTAACCTAAGAGTGGAAAGTGAGTATTATAATGAATGTTTCTTTCTTGTCTCCAACTTTGATGTTTCTTCTTCATCCGAGGGTAAGTTCTTTTCAGATTGAATGGAAGGGGAACGTATTATTTCAATGTCTTATTTGAAACTCAGTAACACTGTGTGTGTATGTATCGTTGTATGTTCATATGTATAGATGTTATCTACTGTTTTTCTGATTACTCTTCTATTGCCCTTACTCTTTAGTAATGACTCTGCTTTCGAATTCTTTCACACCCAATAAGACCTTGTGTCTTAGTGACTTTGCTGCCTTGCTTGGGGTAAATTCGACAAAAAAATGCATTAAATGGGGCAACAGATGTACACATAGGTGCACGCAGAATCACACGGAGAGAGTATGTGATAGACAATCAGCCTTTCTTTTATGATATAGATTTCTTTCATTTATTTTTAAAGGTGACATCATTCACTGGGAACAACAAATTCGGCTTCGACACTTAACCACCAGACAATATTTGTGCATCAACAACAAATGTGAAGTATGTCTTACTCCCGAACAAACTGACCCCCGAACAGTGTTTCGTCTTCATTCCGTATTAAAGGTAAGATACAACATATTTGATGGCATATAATTTTCGTTGTTAAAAAAATTAGCTAAAACATACCAATCTGGTCTTGTATACAAAATTGGTAATCTGGCTAGAAGGATCTGCTCACTTTGAGAATCAAAATTCAATTCAGTTTTTTCATTGTATATAAGATGCCTTATTTGATACTAAAAGTAAATAAAATCTCTTCCATATCTTATCTATGAAGTTTAGATGTATAGTAGACTAATTTTTACTTAGAAACCGTAGACTACCAGTTTATGACCATATCACTGTGAAACACCAGTTTTCGTACGATCAGTGAAGTTAAGCATTGTCGAGCCTAGTCGGTAGCTAAATGGGTGACTGCTTCGGAATACCAGGTGCTGTGGTGTAATAGATAACGGCTCGAAATTGGAAAATGGGGAATCAAGTTATGTTCGTTATATTCACTTACGCACAGATACCCTTGGGAAGGGTATGAATCTACCTATTTCCCACCCTGCTATGGGTTAAATGTTAGGACTTGTATCAGTAAATCGTTTTCTCAGAAAAATTCTTAAAATATACAAATATTTTCTGGCTTTAAATAACCTGCAAAAAGGATGATAATCCATAAAAACAATCAAAAAAACAAAAACATGATTATCTGTACTTGTATCTAGATTAGTTCAATAATACTCTTATATTAAATATATTAAATTGGAAAATAAGTCCGGTCACATTTGAAGATGGGAATGAAAGAAATGCATGTTTGATCTTAAATGATATATTTAATCAAGATAATGTTAACTTTCATTATCGATAACATAACCCTGTCATATACATATTCATCCCTCAGGCGTAATTCGAGTTTAAAAAAATGCACTATCAGTTTTAATCTGTTCAGAATAAAAAAAAAAGGACGCAATGATCGTAAAAATTAGATAGAGTCTGATCAGGAGATTAGGGAGGATAAAGCGAATTTTCTCTATTTAGTGACATAACCCAAGTGACTTTTGGGCTTGCATTATTGTATTAGAACATTATGCTTTTACAATTAACCAATGATGAGTATTTTTTCTGAAAGTTTTTGTGCATTGCTTCCAATTGACAATAATATTTCACGGCATTAAATATTTTTTTGGTGATGGGGATCACTTACGTAGACAACCTTTATATCTCACCAAAACAGCATATTTTTCACGTGTAATCCTTGCTTAGAAATATATCACCTTTTTGTCAATGGATGCTAACCATTGTTGTTTTCAATTGGTAATGATGATTCTATGTAGGAAAGGTTCAGTAGCAAGTTTACTCTTCAATGACGAGCAGACGGCAACTCTTTGTTAATCAGTCAACTGATAAAGAGCTCATTGACTAAATTCAAACACTTTCTGAGTTGATGGAAGAGCTACTTGTATTGAACTGTTTTGTTAATTCTCGTGCAATTTGCTTATGGTTTTCCATAATTAAGATTTGCAGAACTCGATACTCACAGAACCTGGCGCTCAGGATTGAAGGAAATCTTTGAGAGAAACATTCCAAACCATTGTTGGCACGTCCGGGCACTTAAAGTTTGACTTTCCATCAAGAAAACAAATATTTCTTACCATTTTCTTTAATAAAGAGTCCTTTTTGAATTCATCCAGCATGCAGTTTCTAACATCTGTTTGATTGATACAAAATTTATTCACTTTGATATTAAGTAATCTTAGGAAAAAAAAACCCCTGCAAAGCATAAAATTAAGATATTTCGTTTTCACTTAAGTACCATACTCTTGAGTGATCATGTCTCATTTGATTCATGACTCACTAAGTAGATTATTTCTTTCTACGGTAGGCTGATTGTCAACCAAGGCTATAGGATCCATTCTGTCCTACTATTAAACCTATAGCTGAAGTGAGAAGAGATGGATTCACACCTTTCCCCAGGGTATTTGTGCATAAGTAAATGTAACGAACCCAACTGGAATTAGAACTCTGATGTCCTATTTCTCATTCCAAACCGTTATCCATTACCCCCACCCATTCCTATTTTTATTGCACAGATTGAAAATGTATCCTCAGAGTCATCATACAAAAATGCTATGGTCTTTTGTCATTCAAACTGTTAATATAGAGTTGATGATAGTATTTAGCATGTTATTTTTTTAAAATAAATATATTTTTGTAAAGAAATGTATGGGAAGTTTGGCAAGGTTTGATAAACATCCATAAATTAAACGGAATGCTATATTTTTAGCGACATGAACTTTTTTTTTTCATGTCTTCTACATAGGTATTTCTTGAATTACGACGCCCATCCGTGATTGATGCCAACGAGCTAGAAAAACATTTTCCCCTTCTGTATTCCAACAATAAACAGATGTTTATCTGTTTTATAAGAATCAAAATCTAAAGATTTTCTATTTGAATTTTCTATGCAATTTCTTCATTTCCATTTCATCATGCAAGCTGCCAGGAAACGTTATTTTCCCATCTTACAGCTGTGCATACATTTATTTTGCATTTACTTTAGACCTGCTTTATTCAAATTTCCTTTTAGAAATTCTTTAATATACACATCCTAATGCAATTCCCATGTATTGACTCCTGTTATCTACTGTACATTTACTTCTATGTGTTATGTCCATTTAGGACGATCATGACTCTCCATTATTTCTTTTTTAGGTTTTAGTAAGCTTTGTGTTTTCATTATTTCTCTCAATCCTTCTTCTGCTATACATTTATATATTATTTAGGCTTTTCATTGCTGTCCTTGTCTTCAATATGCCTTGTAAGACTAACATTCTCGAATCCCTCTTTTCTTATTATGTGTCCTAGAAATTTCAACTGTTTTTATTCTAATTATAAGTGTTCTTTTTGTTTCCATCTTCTCCAAAACTTTGTCATTGCTTACATGTTCAGTTCACAACATTCTCAGCATCCTTCTGTATATCCATATTTTTGTTTCCGCAATTTTATTCTTTATTTGTGGGAGATTGCCCAGAGTTTACTGCTGCCTAGTAAGGCTGATATTACTCAACAGTTCGACATTTCTTCTTTGTTTCTGACATGATTTTCATGTTTGTTAATATTTTCCTTATCTTTTGGCAGACATGTTTTGCTATTCCAGTGCACTTTCCGATTTCGGCATCACATTTTCTGTTCCATGTTAAAAGACTACCTTAATATTTAAATCTTTGTACGTGCTTGATTTTTGGCTTCTCCAATTTGTAATTTACATGTTAGGCTCCCCTTTTTACTGACAACCATATATTGTTTTATTATTTATTTTGACTCACTTAGTCCTAAATGAAAGATTTTCAATATAAATAGTACACAGTTCCATTTTAAAGAGGCAAATTTATTAATTTCCAGGCATAATATGTTGTATGAAGCTTTATTACAAGTGGAAACCAACTTAACAGCATACGGTATGCAAATAATATCGTGTTACTTGCAGATACTTAAAGAAGGCTTCGAGTAATCTTTAAAAAAAGAGAGCTGGAAGAATGAGTTAGCCATAAATAATAAGACAGAATGTATGGTTGTTAGCAAGAGAAATATATAAAGATGTGATCCATGAATTGGAAACATCAAAATCATGCAAGTACAAAAACTTTACTCTATGGGAAGAGTTATAACAGACGATGGAAAATATGACACAGGGAAGTGCAGTTGCTTTCCAAAAAATAAGCAAATTATGAGGCGACATAGAAATTAGAAACGCATAAAGGTTTGCTGAACTTCTATTTAATATAAGCCCTTCTATATGGCAGTGAGTGTTGGACAATTTTCTAACAGATGAATAGGAAACTTGAGACAACAGAGGTATAGATCTCCAGAAAGATGTTGGCGATTGCATGAAAGAAATATGCATGCAGGCAGATTTAAACAAAATGTGGACAAAGAGGGAACTTTTACTTAGAATCAGAAAGAATTTATTAAAATTTCTTACGTACATAATGAGGAAAGACGGCTGGGAGAATATGACGCTCAAAGCACATACTAAAGACAAAAGATCGACAGAGAGAAACATCAAATAACGTGCTCAATGAGCTTATGTAAATGGATTACACAACAGGGATTTGGAGGAATAGTAAGTGAGAATCATTGCTTAGAGCTACAAAGTATAGGAAGTTGTTGAGAGTAATGATCACCCACGTGCTGAAGGGACACGATACATGAAAGAAAAACATTTAACTGATACTGGTTTTATTCTCAGTAATAAACTGAACTCAACACAGCCTTACTTGATTTTAAATAAGTGATTCGAAATCAGAAGTTAGTCGAGCAACTGGCTAAGATTATCCTTATTATTTTGGTTCTGTCACAAATATCGATTCATAGATTACATTTGGTTGTAAATGCGAGTTTGCTATTGCCAAATAACACTGGAATACATTAAACAAGTTTATCATAACAGATATTTACTAAATTTAGCTTCGCATGGCACAAACAAATCCAAAGGAGAATAAATTTTTGAAGACTGTGTTCACTATTTGCCCATATCTGGGACCCTAACAGGTGCTACCACCCCATGAATATTTGCTATTCTTATCTTTGTTGCTTGAGAATCTTTCTAATTTTGCTAATTAAGACTGAAAGACCTACTTATAAATATTTTTACTTTTAAAAAATTAACAACAGCATTACAAGTTGTTTTAAAAAATGCGAACATTTTTTACATTTATAGGAGAGAGACCAAATTCAATATGAAAGTTATGCAAGGATCGAACACATGCTCAGCGGCTGCTGGCTCCACGCACTCAAAGGTAATAGTTTTTATCTTCAGTCATGAATTTTAATAATATAAACGTGTCTCTTTCCAAACTGTTTACACTTAGAATATATAAAAACAAAATTTTATGTATTTATCTTAAATCGTAACTTCTTAAAACAAATTAAATAATACACCAGAGGCGGATATGTAATATAATTGGCCCTGATCTGGCATCTCGTCTACAGCCGCTCTCGCACAGACGCACCGTCGCCTCTCTCTGTCTTTTTTACAAATACTTTCATGGTAATTGCTCCGATGAGCTGTTTTCACTGGTTCCCAGACTTTATGAATTCAAGCGCTCTACGAGGCTGGCATCCCGCTCTCACCCTTTCACTGTAGAAACTTTTAAACGTAGCCGTCTCTTCTACTCCAATAGCTTCATACTCTGCACCTCTCGCCTGTGGAATACCCTTCCCTACTACTGTTTCCCTGAGAGCTATAATCTCCAACTATTCAAATGTAATGTCAATCGACATCTCCAGTTACCTTGATCTATCTACTATCCCTCTCCTCATCCTTTCACTCCTATCTACTCTCGCTCCAAATCTTCTGCAACCCCCTGCATCCTTGCTCAGGGCGTAAAAAAAACAACAACGACAACAACAAAAAAACATTTAAACAATAATTGGAATGATAAAACCAACAGCATTCAACAATATCGTTCATTAGCGAAAAAGAAAGTTTTTTCTTTCTGTTATCAAATTAATTTTTTATGAATTTCCAATATATTTAAATGATGCTGTATTAAATGCAAAAATCAAAATTAAAATACTAACTAAAATTAATAAAACCGGTTTGTCCGTAGTTTGAAATCTTTGGATGGTGTAAGCTGTTAACAATACTAATCAACATATTTTCTTCATATTTGATAGTTCTTAGTACATTCAGTTGTAGAATGGAACAAATGCAAAAGTTCAAACAAGCACAGATATTTCATCAGGCAAACAAGGAACCCATTTCATTTTGTCAGCTTTGATTGCACAAAAATGCATGCATGTTTTAACATGCCTGCTTTCTGAATCCTGACTATCAAATTTTGTTTCTTTTGCTGGCCACTTTCTATATAAATTTCCATTATAATTTTTACCATGAAGTTCTTTTAATCATTGTGTATATTTAAATTACATGACTAGAATATGTGATTTAATTTAGTTTGACCATATATAATGATAATGAGTCCTTAAAAAACACCAATACGGTCTTTTGTAGTCAAGCTACGTTATTGAATGCTAGAAATTCATGTGAAAAAATTAATGATTTACCTATATAAATTTTCTGATTGTAATTCTTAAGTTAATAATTGAATAAGCTCTTTGTGATTTTTCTGACTATAAAATACCCGTAGAAATTTCCCTTTATCTTTGTTAAATATTTGAGCTGAACACATTTATTAAAATATTACAGCAACAATCATATGGATGGAAGTCATTAAATAAAAAAAGTGTAGAAATGAAAAGATGCAAAATTTACAATTTGTTCCATTATACGGAAGCATGAGCGTTATTGACTTTTCTTTCTTTCTTTCTTTCTTTCTTTCACTGAAATAACAGCATCTAATATGTCACGCCTATCTTTGAAATAGTCCATTATTTATGAGGTATTAACATAGCGTAATTTAGGTGAAAAAAGTAACTGGCAGAATTATAATATATTACACAAAATTAATTTCTATCTTCTCGTATCGAAAACTCCATCAGAAACTTGTAATCTTATCTGATTTATTTTTGAGATATATATATATATATATATATATATATATATATATATAGTGTGTGTGTGTGTGTGTATAAGTCTTGAATACTCCCCTGTGGAAAATGTGGCTACTCCTTACCCGTCTCAGTGTTGCCTCTGTAGCAAGTAGGGTTTTACGGGGTGTGTTGTTAGCCTCACATCCAATCGGATTGCATTCAGAATTGTTTAGCTTGCCAATAAAAAGCTAGGATATTCAGTCTGTCTTGATATTAACCTCTAACTGGGAGTGGATAGTAGCAATGGATTCACACTTTTCCAAGGGTATTTGTGCAAAATCTAATTGACCGCCAAACCCACTTTCCACTATGCAATGTGTACACCCCACTTTCAATAATTTGGTTAATTCAAATTGTCAAATAATTTTTCTGTTACTTTAAAGTTTACTTAAAAAATGAATTGATGAGTTCACTTTTTGTTTGTAAATTTTCAGATGAAGACTATGAAAGACATTCGTCCAGAGACACAGATGAACAGTCGATGAGCAGTCTCAGGTGGGACGGTGCTGCCACTCGAAAGGTAACTACTTGTTAGAAAACAAGTTGATATTTAAATAAGCTGAGTTTTCATTAAGCAGTAAAACTAAAACTAAGAAAAGTAATTTGGATCAGATAATAAAAATAACATTGTACTGAAATGAGAAATAATTGTCACAATGATCTCCGTTTACATTCACTAATAGTAAAACAAGCATAGAATCAGTATTGTTTTCATTGAGAAAATGTGTAATTACCTAATTTCTGTCTGGATTTCTGGAATGAAGAAGTATCATTATTAACATTAAGACTATCTCCTTTACTCATTATTTTTGCGTTTGTTATATACAAAATGCGCCTAAAAGTTAATGTCTTTCAAAATTTGAGAAAAAAAGAAGCATTGATATTAGTTTTAGCAAATGTATTTCATAAAGAAATAGGACTTTATGAATATTTTTTCTTTTAATATTTATTTAAATTTGTTTCTTCTTTTGACAGATCTCGGCAACTAATGAAAGTCTTTATGATGACGCCTACACGTTGCAATATGTACATCAAGATGATGTACACAATTTCAACTTCGTGGCTGGAATGGTCCCTATGTTATTCAATCTTATCAAAGCTGTAAGATATATTTATCAAATACTCAGTATCTTGGAATTCAAATAAATACTATGCTAATGAAAGTTGAAAATGTAAAACTAGTAAGAAGAAAGACTGCATACAGCAAATAATTTTTCTCATATACTGAGTCATTTTCTAAAAGAGAATGACAAGTACTCACTTGAATAAGATATCCCGTATTTATCAGGTGAAGGTTGTTCTGGAATTTACACTGTTTAATTTTTAAACTGTTTTATAAGTGACACTGATAATATTGAAAAAAAATTGTTGTGTAAAATAAAATATGTTTATAACTATTTAGAGATTAATGATGAAAATCAAAAGAATCTGCAATATTATTTATCCTGATCTAGCATCTTGGCTTCAGTCATATTTTCCCACTGTCATAACATAGTTTTCTTGTCTTTTCAATAACTATTTTCATGGTAATAGTTCTCAACTTGACAAATTTAAGTGCAATATTAGATTGGCAGCTAAGTTTCCTCATTTTACTGTTGAAATGGCTAAAATCTAACTGCAAGTTCTAGACTAATAGTTTTTCTCTCACATTTCTCATTTGTGAAACTGTCTTCCGACTTCTTGCTTTCCAGTCAATTTTGATCTTCAAAAATTTAAACGCAATGTTAGTCGCTATCATCTGTTTTAATTTTTTATTGTTCTCTCCCTTATTCATGTTTTTCTTTTTCTCATATTCCTTCACACTCATTAACTCCTTACGTCTTAGGGATTCTGTTGTCTTGCTTGAGGTGAAATGATTAAAAAACATTTAAGTTACATACTTATTAATTTACCTACATATTGAAAAGAGAAATCACTTATGACAACTACATTCTACTGTAGAATCCCAGAAAGGATCATGCAAGTTAACGTAAATCCTTTAAATAGAATAAAGTACATTCTAAATAAAAAAATCCCTTAAATTAAGATCACTACATGTCTTTGAATATTATAAAGTACAGCCCAGAAAGAATCCTTTAAGTTAAGGTCAATCCTTGCCTTTTAAATACAATAAGATACAGTCCAACGAAAGCATTACTGAGGTTAGGGTCACTTCATGTCATTAAATATAATGATATGGTACAGTGCAAGGAATGATTCCAGAAGTTACTCGATTTTTATCTTTAAATGTAATGATGCAGTACAGTCTAAAGAAAGGATTCTTGAAGGTTAGATCAATTATACCCAAATTCAAAAAAATATTTGAATTTTTTCTTATCTATATAGAAATTAATTTCTGGATGTAGATACTTTACAATTAAATAAAAAATGGATATGCTTATTACAGTCTGATCTTTGTCATCGATATGTTATTTATTTAATACTGAATTAATCAAATATATATTTACCTGATTAGTTGCAACATATGAATATTTACCTTTTGATGAATAGTTGATTTTGATATTTTCTCAAAGTGAATTATTCTAAATGTTTAGGAAGAAAATTCAAAACTATCCTTATAATCGTGTTACAGATATAGGCAATCGATGATGCAACAGTTAATTTTTTTTTGTTTTTTCATACAGAAAAATCACGGTCACCATCTCAACGCTCGCAAAACCCATGGCATCATTGAAGTAAGTTATTCATTTTGTTTGTCCTAAAAGAGAGTTCAATCTTCACACAGATTTTAATCTTTCTGGAAATTATTTTTGAATAAAGTGGATCAAATAAAATAAATATATGAAATCATATCTGTAAATTAAAATTTTAACAATAAGAAACTTCATTTAAAAGTTGGTTTTATTTATTTTAGTTAAATTTCAGACTTGTTTGCTTATTTTATTCGTACTTAATTTAAACCATCATTCTGGAATAACAATTGTTAATTTTAATATGAAATAACTTTATTTATTTTATTTTTTCTATTTTTGTCTTTAAATACTTGTAATTTTGGTAAAAAAATATGAAATAGCATGGTGATGCCAGTACATTCCACTTAGGACCATTCTTTAAAACAAGTACTGATCTAATTCTTTTTGTTACAGAGGAAAGGTTGGAGGGACAATGTATATAGTCTTTAGGAATTTCAAATGCAACTTTAAATGTGCCTCACTTTGAAACGAGAACAAGTCTTTGTTGTCAAACGAAGTACAGTGATGGTTATTTCATAAATGTTCTGCCATCACAATCTATCAGATAGACCTTCTCAAATATTAAAAATCTATATGCAAATCTATCAATAAATATGGAACAAATGCAGTATAAATTATCTTCATACGGGCATCATGAAATTTCAAGGGGTCTTTTTTAATAATCATAACAATAATAGATATTTAAGATAAAAAATTACATATAATTTATTATTTTGCTCTAAAATATTAATTTGGCAAGTTTGCGACGATGATGTTTATTCAACTGAAACTGTATTTCTTTTCAGGGGATAAAAGAATTAAAGACATTTATGCTTCCAGATGGTGAACCTAACAAAGACAGACAAAAATTGATGCGAAACCTCCGAGTGAGAAAGCTTTCTTTTTATCAAATTAAACTCTTTAGAAATTTTAATGTTTATAATGTGTGCGCGTGATGAATGATATGCCTAATAGTGTAACTGTTGGTCATAATCTAAAAAAAAAACTTTTAATAAATTTGAAAAAAGAAAACTGCTTTATATATTTGCTTCCTCATTCTGCGACTATTAACCCTCTGTTAGTACTGTGGGACTTAGTGAGAACAAAAGTACAGTCGAGATTTCAAACACATTATTTAAAAAAAAATAGATATATCATATAGTTCTTTAGTTTCTGGTTATATAGGGTGACCCCAAAAAACGGGGAGTTTTGAAGTGCGTATTGCCAAACATGAGCAAGAGGCAACACTGCGAGACAGTGACCTTGAGCAAGTAAACATTTCGCCATTTAGAATTCAAAATGAAATTCACAGTATCCCAGCTGAGATGTTGCAGCAGTCAATGAGGAATCTCAACAGCAGATTTCAAGAATGCATTCGTACAGGAGGACGCCATTTACAGGACGTAATTTAAAAAAAAATGAAAATTCCATCATTGTTTCTTAAATGGCATGTTTTAAGATTTCAATTACTATGAATAAAATATTTTTCTTCCATCACTCTTGTTTTTATTGGATTGTTAAAAAGTTCCCATTTTTTTGAGGGGTCACCCTGTGTATTGCCTTGGGAATTATTTATAGATTTAATGAGAAATAAAAAGGAGCTTTATTCTATAAAAATCGAATTAAAAGAACAATAGTAAAAATGAATTTGTAAGTTTCGAAATTTAAAATAGTATTATTTACATTCGGTCTCCTCATCTTTATTATCACAACGACCTTCAAGTGTTTGTCGATCCGGGTATTTCGAACTGAATCCTTTATTCAAGCTACGGGGTTAGTTTATTCTCGTTCATGTTTCGTTGATCCATGTCTAAGGATATTTCATTTAATTCTTATTTATTACTTCCCTCTCTCCAGAGGAGATGGATCTAAACAAAGGGATTGAACTCGCAATTACTGTCACCAAATTCCTGAGCCATCTCTTTAATCTACTAGGCTATTGCATTCAAACAGAAGTTATTAAAAAAACAGTTCTCGTTTAATTTTCATTAACTGCTGGTAATTCTCACAAATATAACTAAATCCAGAAACTTCTTGTTGTTACTTGACAGAAGTATTCTGAAAGTTATTTGACTAATCATGAGAATTTGACTTTCCACTTGCTAAATATTAAAGAACATTTTTGTTGGGTTTTAAAAACCACGACACAAAAGAAAGGGTTAAACGTGAATAATATTTCCTTGTATTATCCTTATTGATATACTTTAGTTTGATTCCAAGAGTAATTCTTAACCAACTAACAAATATTACACGGATGTAATGGTAGTTTATACAATGTCTTTGGTCACAGAAATCAAAATAAACCATTGTTGTAAAATTTCAAATAGTATTTTTATTTTATGTTTAATGATTATACTTGGCATCTCACATTAAAGGCTTCATTCTTTATTGATATGTAAAATAAATAATCTTTGGAATGGTGAAAACCAATTCATTCTGTGCATATATAAACAAATAGTAGAGTACCTCGAGGCGGTGCAATGGTTAGCAAACTTGTCTTGCTAAAACAATTACTAAGTAGTGAGTTCGATCCTCACTGGGTGCCCCTTAATTCCATCCTTGTGCCATATCTAAGCTATAAACAAATAGTTTTAAGAAATGTACTGGATTTCGTAGTTTCACATTAATAACAACGTTGTGAGTTTGAAGCTTTAAAATGAATCGTAAGTCTGAGTTAATATCTAAAGAGAATCATTTTTAAGTAACTTCTGAAATTGCGAAAGACAGACCAACAGTGTAAATTAAAAGAAAATGAGTCACCGAACTGTGAAGAATACCGTTGAAACTCATGAATGATTCTGATAAGACCATGTTTAGGATTTTATCTTGAAGATCTGTATCCAAGAGAGAAGTTTTTAAAAATGCTGTCAAGCTGAGAAAATGTTAAGTGTTGTGTCAATGAGGAAGCTTAAAAAAAAACACAAGATATCAAGCAAAAATGAGATTACTTAATAAGCTACATTTAAAAGAGAGCTATTAGAAAATGCAAATTAAATTGACACCATAGTACATAAAGAGTGATGTTTTTTCAAATAGTCTATTCACTAACGATTGCTGTTCTACTCTCGATAGGTCAGACAAATGCAGCAAAATTTGGATGGACATTGACAGAAATGACCCTCACAGGTCAAGACATCAACAAGTTTGTTGATGTGATGTTTACAGAGGGATTATAGTTGTTGAAATGGTGTGGCCTTGTTGAGTTCCTCATGGTGTTAAGATGTCCGCTTAGATATGTATTTATTTTTGAAGGCATGTTTGGAGCCATGGTTCAAGAAGAAACCAAATGTTTTCAGACAGACTCTGCTGTTTGTGTACATTTAGTTGAAATTCTAATAAATATCTGACTAATATTAATTTCAAAGAAACTCATTTGAAGTGAGAGGCTTGTTCAGTTAACCTTACCTGAAAATTGTGGAGCTTTCTGAAGAGGAAAGCTTACATTTGCGCATACAGATTACCTGCAAAGATAAACTTTGGAATGTATTCTTTGAGTTCTGACGTCTGTTTCATATGACAAAATAAAACAAATAAAAAAAATCAGTTGATCATCGTTTTCTAAAACTAGTGTCAAAATATGGAACATACATTTCATATTATACCATTATAAATTTCTTGTTTTTAGAATAAGTTCCTAAGTTTGTCATTGTAAATTTTGTGCACAATCTGTAATTATAGTTTCATTTTCATATGAAATTTTCTTGGAGTTTTAGTAACCTCTAATGTAACACTTGAAAAACTTGATACAATTCGTACGACTGTGACCCCCATCATAAAAGTGACATGTAGTCTCATATAAATGAAGATTATAATGAAATGTCCAGTACATTAATTAGGCAAATACTTCCATAAATTCATGCATTAAATTTCTAAAAATTAAAACTTAAAGTGGTTAATATTTGGAGATACATTAAAAGATGCCTTCCAGAAGTTGAGCAAACTAACCGAAATATTTAGTTAGAGACAACGAAGAGTTTGAAAATGCTACGTAATATTAATCCTCCCATGTATGAAAAAAAAAGAGAGGTTGTCTTGGTGCACGGAACAGCAGGCGGTGAGTAGGCTCTGTGCATTAGCATATCGTGGCAAATAAGGTGTACTTCACAAAACTATAGCCTTGCTGTGGTGGCGAGAGCGGTCGGTCCGTGTTATAAAAAAGGCTTTCCCTCCACCACTTGCAGTCAGTTCAATTTTTGAGTTCTTAGCTAAAACAACCCGTGTCCTTCGTCAGACTAATCCACAATTGATACCGAAAGGAATATATGTTACTAAGCCGCTGTTTGGGAGAAGAAATATTCCGCCACCAACCAATGTTACCAGGACGGCGACTATTTCCCTGAGCTTCGCTGTTAGACAGCTAAAACTATGATACATTTCAATTATTGTTAATAGAACCTTGACAAGTTTCGAGGTCACAAAAACAAACAATACTGAAAGCAAGACGATCAGAGAGCAACAGCAAATTTGTGTTAATGGTTGTCAAAACAGATTGGTGGCATAGTAAGGGATATCAAATATGTCTTAGGTATACAAAGTATAAGAAGTTGTGGAGAGCCGCATCACCTACACCGTAAAGGAACAGTGCATAAAAGAAGAAATATATAAGACAGTATAAAATTTTTACGCTCGATTAACCATTTACCAGGCATGCTTAGCGAAAACAATGGACATATATTGCCGGCTTATTAAGTAACTATTTTTAAAAAAAATAATTAAATATCCCATGGCAAAGTTAGGGCTATTTTTCTTTTTTTTTTTTTAGTAAGATATTAGTTTGTCATTGTTTCTTCTTCTATGTACCATATCTCAGGACGTTAACGGTCATGGCTCTCTACAATTTTCTATCTTTTGTAGTTCATAGTAAATATTGTTTTTTTTTTCCTTATCTCTCCTAAACCCTGCTTTGCCATTCATTTACACACATTCGTTTGGTAGTTTATACGCTGTTTTTTTTTTCTGCCGCCCTTGCGTTCCATATGTTATAACAGGTCACAAGTTAATAACCCTTAGCCACGTGGGGACACAACAAACCACTAGGCGATCGTCTTCGAAAAACGAATTCATTTCAGAGAGCGTGATACAGGATCGGAACTGCCAACGAAGACATGTACCAATATTTGGCTTGCCGGGTACTATGGTCGAGAAAACAACCTACCGTACGGTTCATACCTGACAGCCAGTGTATATTTTGGTTGGCATATGTTTACGCTCGATTTCGGTGGCTGCAAGCGACCTAGTCACAATCGATTCATTGAGCATGTTTCGGGTCCGCTTATTAGACCGTTTATAATGTCCTCTATGTGTGGATGTGTTGGATTTTCCAAGCACACTTTTATTATTTCAATTTCAACTTTTTCTGACAAGTATACGTGTAGGTACCTCCAATAATACATGGAAAAAATGCCCCAAACTTAATAAAAAAACAGTTTTATCATCAAAATGTTTGTTATTATTAAAAGGAAAAAACAAAGTAAAATTTAAAAATTAAATTTGTTATTTGTTATTTTATTTGTTAATCCTTTGTAGCACTTTGGAAATTTTGATAAAAAAATCTTGTTTTTTCTTGCATGAGCGGGGCAGCAAATATTAGTATTAAGAAATTTGGCGCTATTTTTCTGGTAAAAATTACGTTGTTTTGAAAAATCTTGCGAACATTGAATAATTGTCGGATTTTATTGAAACTTTCAGGTCTTATTCACAAATAAATTAAATTATTTTATAATTTTTTTTAAAGAAAATCTTGGTAGAAATTTTTTTTTACATTTTTAAAACACACCAAACGCCTTAATTAATGAAAAGTCGAAAAACTGAATTTTGTTCTGATTTATAGTTATTTTCCAAGCATACCTTAGATGTGGTACAATGCCGAAAGTATGGGGCATCTAGTGAGGATCGAACTCACTTTTCAGCTGTAACTGACTTAGCGAGACAAGCTTGCTAACCATTACACCATGCCGAGGTGCCCTTTTTCTCCTGATTTATATAAGTTAAAAGAAGCAGGACTCATTGCAGAACGTCAATCATTAATTTTTCTTTCATTTACCACATTATTTAATTAGAGAAAGCTTTTAATTGCTTTTATAAATATGATATATTATGGACACTACTGTTTTAAGAAAAAAATTCTCGATGAATAATGAATTTTTATAAGAATTGTTTTCTTTTTAAAAACATTTAATTAAAATCATATTTATTATAAAACCCAGATTGTGTGTGTGTGTGTGTGTACGTTTATATATTGAATCGGATTTCCTACATTTTACAACCGATTTCAACAAAACTTCACAGGACTGCGTAAAATTACCTTGCGGTGGTTCTGACAGCGCCAAAAATTGGAAAAAAAAACAATTGTTTTTGCACGAAATCAATTTCAAAACACGATTAAGAGGCATTAATGAAAGAGGGACAACTCATATCGAGTTATATTTATTATAAAACCCAGGTTGTGTGTGTGTGTGTGTGTGTGTGTGTGTGTGTTCGTTTATATATGGGATTGGATTTCCTACATTTTTCAACCGATTTCAATAAACACTTTTTTGGCAGGTAGTGTTTCTTATTGTCTTGCACACTTTTTTCTTTATTTTTACATTCAGAATGCTTTAAAAATTCCATTTACAAGACAATTGTTTATAATAAAATTCTATTCAATCGGTAGACTCATAACGATTGAAAACAATGTTTTTGTTTGAGTTTGGGTTTGACCAATTCGTAAAAAAAAAAAAAAACTAATTAAGACATGCGTGTCCGTCAACCTTAAACAATAATCTTTGTCAATTTTATTTTTCAGTCTTTATGATGATCTATCTCTTACTGTTACATCCCCAGGCAACGCCGGGCTCTACTCCTAGTAATTTATAAAGTTTGAAATCTTTCAAATTTTTGTATTAATTTGTACGGAATAGGTGATATTCTTGTTATGTAAAACCTATATCTAATAATCATAAATTTAAAAGCTTAAGGCAAATCATCATACTTCAATATTTTAAAAAGAATTTTGAATTTTTTAATATATTTTTAACGTACTGATTTTCTATTCTACAGTTAAACATACACGACATTATCAGAAAAGACCGATGGCTATAATAAATTTACAGCCAAAAATATTTAAAATTCAATAAAACATTATATTATGGAGAATATATTCTTCAATTTTTAAGATTACTACTTAAAAAATATATATAACAGGCGCTCACGTTAATTCACTTATTTGTTAACGCCTAAAGCTCCCATTGCACAACATTAGATGATTATCAATAGGTCATTAAGTTGTCAAACCCGCAAACGCCTTAAATAAACAGCTACTGTCTGGTTAAAAATGCATTTTTTGTGATATGTTAAATTTAAAGTAAATAGTATTTGTTTCAAATAAGATTAATTATACTTCAAATAAGGTAAAATTTCTCAAACAAAGTTTCAGAAACGTATGATTTATTTATGGAAGATTTTTTTGATAAAGACAATTACATTGCGATGAAAGGTAACTATCAAAGGGCGCTAATCAGCTATTTTAGCAAAAAAAAAACAAAACAAAAAAAAAACAGAAAAGATTCTTTCCAGTCAATTTTAAATTAGTTTTTGAAACGCAGCAATGTATTTTACTTATTGGAAATATTAAATTTAATCTGTTATCTTGAAATTAAACCTAAAACAAAAGCTTCAAGAAAGATTTTTCATTTTTATTAAGTCGACATTATATTCATAATTTAAATTTCATTTTAACTGAAAAAATATATAATTCAGTATGAACCCAAACCCAATTCAATGATATAATCAAATAAATTTTAAGTTTATTTTAACAAAATTGCTAGATATAACCAGAATGTCTATGCTGATAGTTTCTTTTTTCGAACTTCTCACTTGTGGAACTCTATTCCGGCTTCTTGCTTTCCTGTCAACTTTGATCTTCAAAACTTTAAATGCAATGTCAGTCGCTATCTTCTGTTTGAATTTTTATTGTTCTCTCTCGTTATTCATGTTTTTCTTTTATTCTTTCACACTCATTAACTCCTTACTTCTTAGGGGTTCTGTTGTCGTGCTTGAGGTAAAAATGATTAAACACATTTAATCTACATACTTATTAATTTACCTACATATGGAAAAGAGAAATCACTTATGATAACTATATTCTACTGTAGAATCCTAGGAAAGGATCCCTCAGGTTAAGGTAACTGTCAACTTCAGTTTTCAAAAAATGTTTTGCCTCCTTGAACCAGGTTCTTTTATTGTACTCTCTTTCTATAATAGTCTCAAATTCTTTCACTTTCAGTAACCCCATGCATCTTAGTAGCTTTATTACCTTTCTTGTTGTGAAATGATTACAGAAATTTTTGTTTCTTGCGAATCTTACAAAGTTTTCCGACAATATATATTTCTTGTTCTCTTTACAGGTGATAGATCTCTTTGTGAATATCCTTCAGTTCCCGCTGACCGACAACGAAGAAGCACCTCTTCTGATTCGCATATTCAAAGAGTGCTATGATGTCCTGCACGCCTATATGATCGGCAGGAGCCGAAAGAATGCCCTGTACTTTGCTAAGTACATCGACTTCTTCCAAACACAGTTCTCACAGAAAGTAAGTTTCTGAAAATCGTAATATTTAAGAAAACTCTACGCAGATGTCTGTGGAATTTGACACTAAAAATGATTACTTACCCGAAGACATAATTTCCATCGTTTTTTTCGAAGTAGTCTCCTTGTAATCCAGCAGATTACTGGTCGTAAAGAGTAGAAGCAACAGTTTATAATACTTTAATATATTGATTGATTTGTTTTTTACAGCTTGTCAATCTTTTTTCAGGTTATTTAAAGCCAGAAAATATTTTTAGATTGTAAGAAGTTTTTGGAGATAATAATGATTTACTGGTATAAGTCCTACTAATTAATCTACAGCTGGAGGTCAGAAGGGATATATTCACACATTTCCCAAGGGTATTTACGCGTAAGTAAAATAATGATCCCGACTGGAATTGGAACTCGGTACTTCTATTTCCAATTGCCAGCCGTTATCCATTACATCATTTGCATTTCCAACCTTACAACACCTGGCATTTCCAAACTATCACCCATCTAGGTAATGACCAGTTTCGACGTTGCTTAACTTTGGTGTTTGAGAACTGGTGTTTTAACGTGATTTGGCCATAAGCATCTACAGTAAAAAATGTGATCTTCTGTTTAGTAGTTTCCTAAATACAAGATAAATGATCACTTATCTCATACATGCAGAAATTACATTACGACTTGTTTTCTGTTATTGATAGCACTTAATTTTTAACGAGAAGTCGACCTAAAAATGAAGTTACCTTATTTCAAGTCGTCTGACCGCATTCATGAACATGGTCACAGTACGTCACTCTAAGCACCTTAAAGCACAATGCACTTGAAAGGCATGGACAAAGGCACGGCCTGAAATTGCTACTTTACAGTGACAACTGTAGATTATTGGTCGCTTTATATATATTTTCTATGAAGTGTAGCCAAAGCACATGACTGGTTTACGTCTATTGCTATGTGTTTCATTAACATGTCCTTTGAATGCGTTACTCATTGTCAACCCACGTTAGTTGTTTATGGTTATATTAAATTTTTTTTGAATTTATGCGTAACAGCAAATATGTTTTTTACATTACTGCATAAAACTCTATATATATATATATATATATATATATATATATATATAATATTAGTGGTAAATATACACATACATGTGCAAAATATATAAATATATATACATACATGCATACACATACATATGTATTTTGTATAGGATAGAATCCAGGTAGAACTCAATGTCCAGGACAGAGTAAGGATATAATAAAAGGCTTAAACACTCCTTTTTTTATATATATATATATATATATATATATATATATATATATATATATATATATATATATATATATATATATATATATATATACGTGTACAGTGCAACAGTTAACTTTTCATGGTTTTCTCAAGTTGTCTAGCACGAACTGGTGAATGAAATAGTGATTTTATTCACCAGTTCGTCCTTGACGACTTGGGGAAACCATGAAATTTTAAGTTGCACTAAAAAAATATGTATATATATATTTATTAATATATACTTCTTAGCTCTTTCTAAATGCATTGAAAAATGTTTTGTTTAAACCTTATATTAAATTTAGTAAATGATTACTCGCTTATCTGTGTATGCACGCTTATCCACGCATATGCAGTTGCTCATATCTAATTATTTGGTTTATATATCACATATATATATATATATATATATATATATATATATATATATATATATATATATATAGTATTACAAGAATAATTAACTATACTACTTCTAACGAAATTATTTGCAGTTAAATAAAATCGTTAACAGAGACTGGATTAATGCTTCAATTGTTCTTTTAACCATGAATATTTACTGTTATTTTTAAATTTCTATAAACATAAAAGAACTGTTTACATATATTATATAGACAGCCTCCCAGTCCTCAGTTGCTTGTCTTGATAAAGTTCAAACACTTCTATGTGGCCTTTTAGGTGATAAATTATTTTCCTACTGACAAATCCTTTCCCACAGACGAAACATCGTGGACCTTCCGCTACTCTATCACTATTTACATGGCATGTGTTCTTATGATCTACATTCCTTATGTTCTATCTGCCGTAACTTTTGCAAGTGGGACCCGCCATGCAGCAGACACAAGGATGAATCATCCCCATTCGTCTTGTATTCCTATAGAAAGAAATTCCAATCGGACAGCTTCTTCCCAAGAATTGCTGCTTGTGGAGCACTTCTGGCAGGATATTTTCCCAATGACTAAAATCTTGACCTATTTAGTTAGAAGTATGAATTGTTTTTACTCGTAAAAGGGATACAGTCAATTGATTATAGCCTTCTAACTTCAAGAAAACAAAGAACAAAAACATATGGCGGGTGAGACCTAGAATTGATCCGTTTTATTGGTTAGGAAGACATCCCAGCATGCATCTGTAGGATTTGTCTATAAATTTGGTGACGGTATGTTCTTAGTAGTCATTCTTATCAGATTGAAACTAACAATATTATCAGAAAAACAAAAACAAACCTAGATTGTTTAAACATTATTTTGCATATAACTATTTCTGAAGTGAATTTCATCTACACTAAATCAATTTTATACATTTTGTCTGTTTTTAAGACCTGTAAAAAATACATTAAATGATTTCTATTATAACGAGACAGTTTATTGATTGAAATCATAAGATATACTCTGTTAAATCCTAATGCAAAGGACATTTTTAAGGTTTTTTACTGAATTGATTTTTATTTGAGGTTGATTTGGAAAATGGTTATGTTTAGGATTCCGCACCTTACATTACTTCAGTCAAAATTTTAAAAAATACGTAACAAAATTCGTAAAACTGACAGTAATGTTTCTTTCACCCCATACAGCATTTTCTGAATTTATTTACTTGGATTGTAATAAATTTTATTGCAATTCTTAATCTCATTTATCTTTTTACATTTGCAGGGAGGAATTGGCTTAAATGTTGCTCAAATGATCGTAGAATTAATCCGGGATAACAGAAAGATTGTGGACCGAATTGGACATTCCAACATCGACAAGTTCATCACCTTGCTTTTAGAGAACCCCGTAAGTACCGTTTTGGAATAAGTCAGCACAGATGCGTATATATAAATGCTCGTATGTGTATGCACCGTAGAAAGTGAAACACCCATCACTGTTACTTCAGGTTTTCACTGAATAAAAGCTACACTCAGCCATTTCTAAGGTCTCTAGTCTTCTTCTATGTGCTATATTCTTTCAAGTTGTGGGCCATTTAGAATTTCCTCTCCTTTGTAGTTCTTAGTAAAGTCTTTTTTGTTATCTTCCTAACCCCTGTTCTGAGAACCATTTACACAAGCTCGTTAGGTAGCTTATGTGCTGCTTTCCTCTATATGTCCTGTGAGTGGTCAAATTTTCTAATCCCTTTTTCTTCATTATATGCCCTAGAAATGTTAATTGTCAATTTCTGATGTTAAGTATAAATGTCCTTTTTGTTTCCACATCATCTAAAACCATTCTCATCATCCATCTGTAGAACCATATTTCTATTCTTTATTTGTAAGGAGATTGACCAGAATTCCTTGCCATATAGGTGGACCGATATTACATAACAGTTCAGTAGTTCATTACTTTGCTTAGCTTTTGGAAGGGCTCTTTCGCTATCCCAATGCACTTTCGGATTTTGATGTCGCATTTTCAGCTCTCTGTTAAAAGACTTCATAGACATTTATATTTTTGCAATTATTTGATGTTGGTGTATCCAATTTGCATACTGGGCTGTTCCACATGAGGATAGACATACATTGTTTTCTTGTAATTTTTCTTTAGTCATTTTTTTTTGTTTTCTTTACTACTTTCTACAGGAGTTCCTGTAGTTTCCTTACTGTGTCTGCTATAAAATCTGTGTCATCAGCATATCTAATATTGCTAAGATTGTGACCATCAATAATGAATCCTGAACTGCTTCACAGTAGAGGTTGAATAGTCTTGAGAGAATGTAAAGAATCAATGCGACCTCCGGTAGATCAATACAAATTTTGGAGTGTTATATTTGATAGAAAGTTATTCTTTATACCTGAGAACTAAATGCAATAAAGCAATTCAACTACTCAGCGTTGTAGCTCACACATACTGCGGAGCTGACAAACAAATCCTAATGAAATTATATAGATTACTAGTCAGACCCAAATTGGACTATGATTGTTTTAATTTATGGTGCTGCAAGGAAATCTTACCCGAGGGAGCTTGATTCAATCCACCACCAAGAATTGCGTCTCGTCCTGGGAGCCATTAAAACATCGCCGGCGGAAAGCTTATATACTGAAGTCCATGAGATGCAACTGGGATTGAGACAACAGAAATTAGCACTTCAGTATTATACCAAATTACAATCATGTCCAAACAAAGCGTCATTCAACTGCCCTTTCTACTCACAATATAAGTATTTATTCAAACAGAAAAAAAAAATCTATAAAACCTTTTGGCCTTTACATGGAAAATTTCATCAGTGAAAAGCAAATAAATCCAACCCCAATTTATAAAACCTCCATCTCAAAATACCCACCCTGATTAATGAAACATCTTATGATACTGCTAAACCTTAGTAAATACCCTAAAACTAATACCAATTCATCTAGTTATATGGAAGAAATCCCAAATATTCTACAAGCAAACTCAAATTATAAACATATATATTTAGATGACTCTAAAATCTTGGACAGTTGGATACCCCAACCCCAACCATACACTTGGCTTTAGATATAGAATCTAGTGGGTCAAATAGATTCATCAACTTCTCAGATTCACTATCTGTACTCACACCACTGAATAATAAAATTATGGGAATCCCTTTAATAAATAAATTACTAAATAGGATTGACATTATTTGTACGAAAAGAAAATATGCATTAATAGTCTTATGTGGAATACCGAGCCATACTGGCATACAAAGAAGTGGAAAAGATGAGAAAATGGTAAAGGAATTGCTAAACATATCCCTCTCAAGTATAAAGGTTCCACACACCGACTTCTGACCCGCTTTAAATAAGATTATTAAAGAAAAATGGCAGCAATTATGGAACATCTGTCAAAACAACAAATCCAACCCATTATTAGTGTAAGAAAGCCAAGTTACAGAAAGATAAGGAGAAAGAATGTGGTACGAGCCAGACTCGGTATAGGACATACATATATATATAACCCAACAACAGCTAATAAAAATGAGGAGCTGCCAATACGTGTCAGATGTCATGAATCAGACATTGTTAAACACATCCTACTAAATTGTCATAACTTTCAGCAAACCCGAAACAAATATACAAATCGGATAACTTAAAGGATCTATTTGAAAATAGTGATCCAAATAATATCATAAATTTCATTAAAGAAATTAGGCTCTACGGGAAAATATAAAAAAAAACTCTTTACCAAACTTGCTTACCTACATTGTTTTGTAACAAATTTTATAGAACCTACAATTTTCAAGAAAAAAAAGAAACTCAAAGGAATTTTCCTCTATGTAATCCACTGATCTCAAAAGACAACAACTCAAATTATTCACCTGAAAATCTTATTTGGCATTAAATGATCAACATGAGCTGATGTGCTGTAAAACAGTTCAATCAATCAATCAATCAATCAATCAATCAATCAATCAATATTCTCTCGTATTTCTCACTGGTGGAAATCACTTTCAGCTTTTTGCTTTCCTTTCTTTTATTGGTCGTTCTCATTAACGTTTTTCATTATCTTAAATTATTTCCTACTTAGTAGCCTTTTGCATCTTGGTGGCTTTCTTTTTTTTACTTGGGGTGAAATGATAAAAAACAAAACAAAAAGTCTACTGAACATTACTCAGAAGTGGGATGCATAGGACATCTGACCGTTTTTATTTTATCATATTCTTTTACACGAATAAGCCTTTTAAATGATGAAAAAAATGCAACCCCAACAAAAAAAACAAAACAAAAAAAAAACAATGTTTACCAACACATTTATCCCAGCATATAGGTACATGATTTTAGTATTTAAAAGTCCATGTTGCTATATGGAATATATAACATCATGTTGAATACAATTAGTAATTCCTGGGTTTTTTTCTTGTGTATTTTCTTATTATTAATGATTATTTCATTGAATTTGTCAATTTGACAGAATTACCGGTTTCTCGATTTGCTGCAAGTCCTGTGCGTGTGCGCTGATGTCGCCATTCCCAATAATCAAAGTTACATTGTACAAAACTGGCTCCGAACATATAAGGTAAGTAGATCGAAATTTCTATTTACTATTTTATCAATGTTATCATGCTTATAACGAAATCTTTTCAGATGTCTGCTCAAATGCACAACTCTAGCTGATCTGGAGTTGATTATTTATTTATTTTATACTGATTTATACGAACTGGTGATTTCTTTTTTTATTAATAGTCACTGCGTTTCAGTCGATATGCACTCTGGCCTCATTTTAGGTTCCACGGATGAAAACCGGAAGGCACCACGCCCGAAACGTTGTGATAACAAAGATAAGGACAATAGTCTAATTATATACAATGTAAATAATAACGTCTCATCTCAGAAATTCAGATAGAAGTATTTGTCATCATTTGAGACATTGGCAATTAGTACTATCTTTCTACTGATATGACAGGCCCTAATTAAAAGTATGTTATTCGTGCAAAGAATATCAACATGTCCATTGAGGTCTCTGTCAATAATCCCATAGAAAGATGGTAAACAGGTTCACAAATTTCAAACGCAACGTCTAGTCCTAATAAATAGTAGTATCTCTAATGGTTGCCTAAACAGAACAGAGTTCTTTACTTAGAACAAACACTTCTTAATAGGCTGACCATATTTAAATTCCAGAAATCTATTCCGTATGTGAAAGAAAGACACATTCGAATAAATCATGTCTGTGATAATGAATATTCATCATCTTAGAAATTCAAACAGAAATAATCTTTTATTAAATTATTAATATTATACAAGAAAATTGTAAATCTTGAGAAAGACTGAAGGCACAAAAAAGATTTTAATGTTGTTATGGAAACTAATTGTGAATTCAAATTCATCAGTCACTATGTCTCATGTGTAATCTACGTTAATGAGAAGCTGACTCTCCAGATCAGGCAATTATACTGTATTCTACACTTGTGTAATATTTATAGAAAATATATCCAATTTCATTCAAAATAAGAATCTTGTTTATTCTGTAAAATAAACTACTTAAAAACAACTGTCCAAATGGTTATAATTTCTTCCCAATCATTTATAATTTCATGAATATATATATATATATATATATATATATATATATATATATATATATATATAATATAAAATGTTTGGTTCAATAATGTCGGCAAGTTCTGTCTGTCCAACTTTTAAAATTTCCGAAATAGTTGCTTTACCAAAGTTCATTTTTATTTTTTTCTTTAGTGCTTTCAAATGTTGCTACATTCGTTTTCTAGGATATTCAATAATGTATGAACATTCGAAAGCCATCAAGAAACAAAAGCAAAAAATAAAAATTAACTTCAGTAAATTTATCGGTCATAGCAAATCGTCAGCTGAACGCTAGAAAATAACTGAGAAAGAGGTGTGCAAAATCTCGCCCACAAATCAATATTTTTGTGCATGCTTCATTGTAGATTCTGTTTTATATATAATTTAAGCTTGTGTGTGCGTGATATTTTGTAATACTTTCTTTAAAATGTGGACATTTTTATTTCCATGTAATATGTTCTTATGAAATACAGAAAGACAAACGTTCTATAAAACGTGTATATCACGATGAATTTTATTGTATCTCTATTCTGTATGTAAACATATTGGGTCGGAACAAAGGTTCGTGCAGTTTTTAAAGCAATTTCAAAGTTAATTCTTTAGGTATTGTAAATATATTTATTATAAAAGTTATGGGATTTTTATTTATATTAATTATATTTGGACTATTGTCTTCAGCTTTGTTGTTGAGGACTATTGTCCAAATATAGTGTAAATGATAACTCCTGATCACAGACAGAAATGAAATATTTTGTCCCACTTTCGCTATCTTTGATGCAGCTTCATGATTCCGCCCTTCTCCAGAATTTGACATCATGATGAACTGGTATAAGTGGTTTTTACGGATTTCAAAAGAAAGAACCTCTCTTTTAATGAGAATTTTGTAGGGTTCCAATATGCGGTAATCCTAAGGTGTAAGGTCAGGTGAGTACAGCAGGTGTAATACGATATCCCAGGCAAGCTGTACAAATGTCTCTCGGCTCTGCCAAGAGACGTGAGGTCTGGTTTTGTCTTAATGGAACAGGACAGCATTCCGGACACTTTTTATCGAATTCTGATATTGCGGTAGGAGATATTAATACGCAATGCCCTTATAACCTCATTAAATACGCAACATTACCTTCTTCGGGTGCAAACCAGATTTTGGAGTTTTTAATGGTGACTTATTTCATTTTATCTGGAGGTTTTCGTACCACATTGTTGCAGACAGTCCATTTTTCATCGCGTCTGATCGTTTTTGTTTTTTTTTTCAAAAATAGGTTGTGCAGAGAACTGCACTTGATTAGAGAATCGCAGATGGAAACGTGGTCTGGTAAATTGTTTTTCTTTCAAATAGTGTGGTACCCAAAAACCGTAGCTATTCACGTATCCAAACGTTTTCAAATACCTTAACTTTCAAACGAAATATATTGAGTTTCTCTGTGATGTTCTGTTCTGTGTTGTCTGACCTGGAGTATTCCTAATCAGCGTTTCGATTTGGTCATCAACGACTGCAGTCCTGCCGGAACGTTCCCGGACTTCCAGATGAATATTTTCACCTGTAAACTTAGACAATCACACATAAACGGTGATTTCAGCTATGGCATCATTTCTATAAACAGTATATATCTTTTTTACTGTTTGGTCGGCGGTTTTTGCTATCAGGAAGTAAAAGAATATAAAAATGACGAAGGTGTAACTCATTTACCGCTATTTGAACTTTTAACATATAAAAAAAAGCATTTAAAATATTCAGTCCACCCATGAATCGTATAGAAATACGCGTTGAAATGTTGTTTTTTAGAATGGATAGATGTCAGAATTTCAGTCGTGTGTGAAATGGAATTAAGTGTTTAAACGACACCTGTTTTAAAAATGCTACGAATTTGCATTCCAACCCAATAATTGTAAATTAACTGAAAGACGGACAGAAAAAAGAAACATAAAGTCATTTATGTAAAAAGTATGCATTTCTTATAAAATAATCTTTAAAGTTATCTTTATTGCCTTAATGTTTTAACAGCGAGTTGGTGGTTTCTATTCTTTTATATTTTTAATAGAAAGCAAATGTTATAATTTGAAATGTTTCATTGTTTATTCTTTTCAATTTCATGTTGTACACATATTATGTTATATCTTGCTAATTTGAAAAAAAAAATCTTTCTTTATAATGTGCTCACCGAGAACACTTTGCTTTAATGTCTTTTTATGGCTTTCTCCACCCCACCCCAAAAAAAAACAATTATACAGACAATAACATTTCGATTTCTTAACTGGTAATTCTGTGTTTTCTTGTCACTTTTCCCTGCAATGTTTTTTCTCTTTTATTTCCATTCCACTCTCGTGGTTTTGTCTAGGCACCATGGTCGAACAACGCCGGATCCTATGCTCAAGACTGGAATCTGCCTGTCCCAAATCTGGCCCTTGTCAGTGCATCATTGTTGGTATTTCCTGGCACAGGCTCTGTAGCACGCAGGCCTGGGCTTTAGATTAATAGAGCCTGTAAATTATTCGGCCTTTGGCTGAGCGCTGCTAATAGAAATGCTGCCGTTGCTGTTCCCGCCTTCTAGACATTGATTCTTTTGTTAATACAGTTTAGAGATTTGGAATGGCACTCATTTTTGTTCTCCTAAATTAGCAACCACACATCAAAGTCAGCAAAGTCACCAGATTAAAACAAAGAAAATGACTCAGACACTCCCCCGATTAATCGATATCTGATCATATTTACTTGATTTCTTTCGTACATAAATATGTCTTTACCCTCCTCGAAACATGTGAATTGGAAGTGTTTAAAATAGAACTTGCTATGCCTCCCACCCCCTCCTAATCAAATACTGATTCAGGATTCTCTCGGATATTCGAAAGTAGAACGTTCCTATGAAACACTTCTTAAACAGCGTAAATCGAAGAAAAAATACTATTTTTTAATCATTTCACCCCAAACAAGGTAATAAAAACACTACGACAGAAGAGGTTAGTGAGAATCTGATAAAAAAAATTATTAAGGAGAGAAGCCAATAATAGAACATGAATTAAGAGGACAGAAGATAACGATTGATATTATTAGGTTGGTGTGAAAATAATGACGTAATAATGTTGTTTTTTGACGTTAAAAATACGTCAAAAAACGACATTATTACGTCATTATTTTTGCACCAACCTAATAGATTTAATTTTTTGAAAATCAAAATTGACGAGGAAGCAAAAAAGTCAGAAGTGAAATCCACAGGCGAAAAGTGCAATAGAAGAAACTTAGTATAGAATATACTGTTGCATCGAACCATTTGAACTGTAAACTAATGAGACGTTGCTGCTAATCAATCCTGCTTTTAAATTCATTAAGTCTAGGTACCATAGAAGAAAATTTATCAGAACAACTACCATGAACGTATTTATTGAAAAGACACAGGGAAGCTACATTATGGCGGTGGGAAAGGGATTGAATCCGAAATGTCAAGTCAGGACCAGTAACATTGCTGATTCTTCTTTGAATTTTATAAAGAATCTCTACACATACAGTGAGGTGAAACAAGTATTTGGACAGTAAAAAAAAATGGATTTAGAATCATATATTGAAAGAAAAGCATTGTCTAAAGCTCAAAATATATTCGTAAAACAATTATAAATGCAAATAAACAGCAAAAATAAATTATTTGACACGTATATGTATTTTATATACAAATTATTAAAACAGGTAGATCTTAAATCCATTTTCTTTTACTGTCCAAATACTTGATTCACCTCACTGTACAACAGGAGTACCAGACCTGATGTGACAGCAATATTCAAAGCAAGGACAAATGGTAGATTTATAAATATGTAAGATAGATTCTGGCGATAAAAATTTCTAGCCGGCATAGTGAACCAACTTTCTTAGCTGCAGAGTTAGCAATTGATTCAATATTCTCTCTTCACTTAATGTCAGCTGAAAACCTTTCGTCCAAGAAGGCATGTTACAAAAACCTTAGTATTCGCAGACCTCTAAAATAAACT